TAAAATAGATATAGTAAAAGCTTTTACTAATTAAATGAATGCATTTGTAAAAGAAACAAGATAAAATGTTAACAAGCGGAGAAAGAATATCATTAACTCGACTAATTATGATATAATCACAGAAATATACCAATTAACGAATTTATTCAATTTTACGTAACCTTTTGCTCCTGCTTCTAGGGAAACGAACTTCGAAAATTCATCTTTCTTAATCCAGTTCTCTTGTTAAGAAACCATGTTAAAATCATCTTCCAATCAATTTCTACAACTTACTTTCTTTAATATCTCCGATAACTCTTCCCTCTTTTTTCGTTAGGATTATTGAACCAAAATGATAAATGGAAAGGACGTGAGAAAAATGATTCTTTTATATGTTTGTAATGATTTAACTGAATGACAAAAAATTCAAGTTATTTTTCAAAGCAGAATTCTTCCGATCAGACACTGGAATATCCAACAACCAGTTGAAAAGATCCAAACGGGAATTTTATTCCCCGTTATAAAGCATTGTACGAGCTATATCTATATACATATATTCCCAAAGGAGAGGAGCTCCTGGAATCAAGATTTTTTTTTATTCGACGAAGGAAAGACAATATCTCTGATTTTTATATTACGACCAAAGTTTCACTTCGATTTTCAATATCAGACAAACTCGTACTCGATACGAAGAATGATTACAAATTATGCTAGAATATAAACGTTTCAGAATGTATTCCTCTTTTGAAAATTAATAAAATAATAATATTTAACGAGATAAAAAATGTTTAAACGATATCAATGATTTTGATGAAATCGATTAGTCAATGGACTTGACGTCCACGAACATCAGATATATATCGATAAGTTTGTAGAATGTGAGAGATGAAGGAGAGTATCGCTGAGACATTGTAGAAAGCGATGAGGATCCTAATTAGATTATTAACTAATAGAAAATATTAGGATGCGAATAAGCGGGCAACGGAGAAACTGGCAATAAAGCAACTCACATACACAAGCGATCGGCCTTAAACTCTATTAAGGTTGTTCTCTTCCTTTGCGTTAGCAAAAGTTTACCCCACAAATTCACTTGCTCGTATTTTCTGTCCCATTTTAGTGATTAAAAGTTTATTTAAAAAAAATAAAGATAACACATGTCGATAACATGAAAATTCTACTTGAAGACCATAAATATTCATAATGTAAATCCTTGAAAATGTCATAAGAAAGGTACCTCAGTTATAATATAATGAATTATTTTAAGCAAACGTGAACAAAAGTGTGTGTAATACACGTAATATCAATCGAATATTAAAAGAACGCCAATTTCTATCGACAAAAATAACACGTGTTTCTCTAACGGAATACGGATTGACTTCATAACAACTGTTTTGTAAAAATTGACAATCATACATTGTCTGATGTCTCAGCTTACAATCAGTCCTTGATTCACGCGCGCAATAGCGTGAAGAGTACAACGTAAATACCTTTATGTATATACCTTTGCAAGCATACACACCGATACGATGAATCGAGAGAAGAGAAAGGATTATTCTTTTAATGCAATTTTAGTTTTTTTTGTCGCACCTATCACTGAAATCATGCACGTCTCGGTATTGAATGACAGCCGTAAATAAAACGTTAAATTTTGTACAAGATCTTCCGAAAATCCTGAGACAGTAAAATATTTCAGAAACCAAATATTTTTTTTTTAAATAGTTTCAAACTGAATTTATATTTTTCTAACGAAAGTTGTACTATTTTTTAAGTATAATCGTTTGATTTTGATTGGAGAGATTAAAGTCATCCCAAAATCAATATAATTTTCTTGAACGGAATGCCATTATTTTTGTACGCATGTACAATTGTATTTTTGACGTTAAAAATTTATAAAACACTGATTGATGATAATTTTATAATGAAAATTACTTGAGTTATGAATTTTCAAAGGTGTAGATGTTCAACAGTTTTTCTATACGTTGGGACAATGCCAAGACGTCAATTGGAAAATTCAACAAACTAAATATCCTTTGAAGATATACACATACAAAGAGTGTAAAGTTTGACCACACAACTTCCACGTGATAAACTTTGCAATTAGATAAAGCTAATTTTGTTGATAGTACATCTCTAAAAGCTCAAAAATAATTAATAAATTAATAAGAAATATAATTCGTTAAATTTTTTGTTCCTAATGAATCCAAGTTAAAAGCTATCTTTTATTAAGTTTCTTACGATGAATTTCAAACAACGCATTTCCAACGACATCCGTATAAAAGGCGTTTTATCTCGTGACAGATATATAAATATCTTTAAAAAGATAATACTATTTTATAGAATACCTAACTGAGTTAAGCATGATCCGCACGCAAACCATTTGATGCTCAGCCGTTCGTAAATAATTCGATTTTCCTTAACACGTTTTCTCCTATCCATCTTCTCATTATTTTTGAAGTCTCCTAGTCTTACTTATATACTTTAGTTAGAAAATAAAATTGAAAAAGAAATAAAAACAGAAAGTTTCAATAGAAAAATATCCTAGTCTTATATAAACCATTTATATATACAACAGTTATTATATAATATGTTCACCATAAATAAACATTCATTATACATTCATTTATACAGTAATCCTTTTACTTACGCGAATAAAAAATTGGTAGGACGAAAACAACGCGTAAATAAAATCATGAAAAGCCATTTAAAATAAGGATTCTTTACACATTCTCAAATATTTATTTAGCTTTTATTGGGATATAATAAGTTTAGAGGATTACGAAATAAAGTACACTGAGAAATCCCTGGATTTATTTTCACATAACTCATCGTGGTGATATATGAGTTCTAGTAGTTTAAAAAAAAGCGCGTTAAAATAAATCCACGTAAATGAATCGATTACTGTACGTATTACGAATAGATTATATATAAAAGGACAATCAAATTTGACGGAATTGCAAGCAACAACGAAAAACAATGATAAGTTAAATTGTACTCACATGTTGCATCGGATATGCGGTGCTACCGACGAGAAAGTCCCATGCCCACGCGAAAATACGCGCGCAAATGTGCATTGACGTCACTGCCACCTTCGATGATTTCCTTGTCTTTTTCTTTATCGTCGATACAATCGTAATAGAATACTCAATACTTGAGATAAATAATGGCGCCGAATTGTCGTTCGATTTCCCGCTCGAATCGAAATTCTGGTTTTGGAATACGTTCTTTTTTTTCTCCTTATTTTCTTTTCATCTTCGTATATCGTCGCACGAAAATATTATACTTTTTCACTTCTCAACAATAAAACTTCTTTAAACAATTTCCACTTGTTTTTCAAAATAAATTTCCATCGAATTATTGACGCGCATACACACAAGATTCTTAATAAATGTATTTATCTTTATCTTTTGAGCGTCTTTAGCAATAAAATGAAAGCATCGATTTCAGATCAAAGGACCACCGAAGTTGATATCTTCTTATCTTGTACCACCCTGTACAAGATATAATTCGATTCTTTGATAACCTTGAAAAAACTAATTCGAAAGAAAATCTTTGCGGATTCGCCCATTCCGTTACCGCAATTCAGTTATAACTTTCCAAGAGAAAATGGATTGGTCGATCGATCCTTAACTCGATTGGCTAGTACAGATAAATAGGAGGCATTGACTGAAATCGCGAGCGCGAAATTAACAATCTATTTGATGGTGATAATGTTCACAATCAGAAAAAAAGATTGTTTATCGATTGATCGGTAAAGTCGAAAAATTGCACAAATATTTACATTTTTGTTTGCCTTCCTCTTCTTTTTCTTGTATTTTTCTCTTTATTTTTATCCGTTCTTCTCGAGTCTTTTTTAATCCGGGTTAATTCGTGAAGGTTAATCAAACGTACAAATCACTTTGGATCATTCGTTGGAAGTTCGGGGAAAAAGTCAAGTTTCGAAGAACAGAGCTCGATTAAAAAGAATTTTATTTGTCCTATTTACGATTAAAAATAAGACGGATGTTGATGAACCAACTTGTTGATCCATCCTTACCACTATAATCAAAAATAATTTCTCACCAAGGAAAAATAATTCTTTCTTTAAAATTCACTAATATATATAAATATATATATATACGATTTTCGTAAATAGTTGATTTTAAATAAATTAGAATACATTTCTCCATTTGTTTATCATGATAACATTGTCAACTTTGATAATAAAAATAAAAAATGCGATTTGTTTCTTCCTTAAAAATTAAATTAACACGGATTTAATATACAGAGTTAAAAAAGAATTTACACTTTAACAATTTTTAAAAAAGTGAAGCAAACGAATAATCGCGAAATACGCGAAAAATATAATTATCCTATCGAAAGGTTTGTGCAACACTGAAGGGTAGAAAACCGCGTGTTTCTAGCTGCTCCCTGAGAAGCGTGAAAAGAATGATGGTGGGGGAAATTGCGTGTACTGTATGCGCGGAAATGCTATATGCACACAGGCAGTTATTTTTTACAATCCTTTATGCTTATATATATAATTAGCTTCTAATATTATCTCATTTTCATATTTAAATAATAAGTTACTCAGAACAATAAACATTTATTTTTAAGTTATAAATTTATGTATGATACAATGTTTGTTTGCATACTAACTCGAATATATAATTATATTTTATATATAATACATTTAACAAACAATTAAATTTATAATTCAAAATTGGTAATATAGAATTCTTATTGTCTGTAACATCTTTATAATTACAAATGTGTGTACTCATAACAATAGAAATATGAAATGACTATGGTAATTGATCAAACAATTTTTTTCGAATAAATGTTGCAAATTTGAAATAAGTCATTAACATTTTGAATTATAATAAAGTAGTGAAAGTTAAGTATATGTTAATGTTGTATAATATGTACATATTTGATTTATGTTTTTGTAATTCACATTTCTGTTCATTATGATGGTAATAATTTATACAAAATTTACAAAAATACACTTTATTGAATTGTATCAATGCTAGTATCGCCCCTAGTGGCAAACAAAATATTTACTTTCTTTTTCTTTGGTTTCCGTTACTATAATTTCATGAACACATAACTGGAAACACGTGTTTTATTTTACTATTGAAACAATAGTTAATTCTTGAAATATAGTGTTATATTCATTATTTAAATATTTGTATTTATTTATTGAATTAAAACTACTTAGTGTGTGCAATTTGATACTACAGGTAATATAAATACTAAATATATTTTATAAGGTTAGAATCATTCTCAGTATATCTTTTATAATATTTTTATTTAAATCGAATTAATTTTATTTATTTAATTTTTCTAAGTGCTACACTCAAATATGAAACGAAAGGAACAAGAAACTTTTACGGAAATGAAGTCAAAGAAAATAAATAAGACTTTAACCAATTTGAATGATGATACAGTTGCAGAAAAAGTAAGTGTAAAAGCTATTCAAACTAAGAAACAGGATAAAACAAATAATATTAAAAAAGAGAAGAAAGTAAACTTTGAAAAACCACTTTTAAAAGATTCGCCAAAAGTACGTAAAAACAATTTAAAAAATATAAATAATTTGAAGAATTTAAGAAATAAACAGAAAATTACTAAAGATGATATAGCAACGCAAAAGGAAAATTGGAAGGATTATAAACAAAAGAAAAAAGATTTAAGAGAAAAAAGAAAAGAAAGAAAATTAACTGATGTATATGAAATTTCTATTCGAGCTAAGAAAATAAGTGAAAAATTACGTAGAACTGATTGTTCATTAGTAGAAAAGAAAAAATTGAGTAAAGAACTGCACGAATTATTAAAATCCCATTATAACAAAATAGTATTTACTCATGATACATCACGTATAATTCAATTGATAATCAAGAATTGTGAACCTGATATACGAAATGCTATATTTGATGAGTTAAAGCCATCCCTTGTAGCTATGACTCAATCAAAATATGCTAAGAATTGCGTTAAGGTTTTATTAGAAAATGGATCTGCAGTATTAAGAAAGAATATTATCTCAGAATGGTATGGAAATGTAATTAATTTAATGAGTCATATTGTTTCTGCTCCTCTTATCGAACTTGCATATTCTACTTGGACTACGCATGAAGATAAAATAAATTTGAAACAAGAATTTTATGGTGATCTATATAAGAAATGTAAAGATAAAAATGTAAAGGTTCTTACGGATGCTTTTAAAAATGCAGATGATATGAAATCTGCAATATTATCTGCTGTAAAAACGAATATAACTAGAATTTTAAATAAGAAATTTATTAATTCTGTGCTACTTCAAACTGTGATTTGGGAATATTTGACTAATTGTTCAAATACAGATAGAAGTGAAATGATAATAATGTTAAGAAATGAAATAGTAGAATTATGTAGAACAAAAATTGGTACTAAGGTTGCTATGCTTTGCATATGGCATGGAACTAACAAAGACAGAAAAATAATTATGAAAGCTCTCAAAGAAAATGTTAAAAATATTGCCATGTCTGAACACGGGTATATGGTATTACTGGCACTCATTGATTCTGTCGATGATACTGTTTTAATGAAAAAGATAATACTCTCTGAAATTCAACAAAATTTAACAGAAATAGCATTAAATGAATACGGGAAACATGTTATTTTATATCTTGTAGCAAGAAGAGATCCTCATTATTTTCCACCAAGTATAGTAGAGTGCTTAAGTCAAGGAGATAATAATGAATCTAGCAAAAAATCAGCTAATATTAGAGCGAAAGAACTTCATGAAGCTGTTATAGACATATACTTAGAATCAATTGCTTCGGAAACAGCAAATTGGCTTTCAAAAGGACCTGTTCTAATGGTTACTCTTGCGATATTAAAATCAGGTTCTGGAGAAAAATTAAATTGTGCTTTTAAAGCTATCGCTTCTTTTCTTACCAGTACAGAATCTGAACAAGATCTTATAGAGCATCCAGGTATACATATGATATTAAAGAAACTTATTCAGAATGATAAAAACTTAGAAACCAAAGGAGAAACTACTTTTGGAGCAACATTAATTGACTGTTTAACAATGAATATTCTGGAACAATGGATAAAATTTAATAGAGGTTGCTTTTTATTAATTTTATTAATAGAAAATGAAACTGAAACAGTTATTAGTAATTTACTATTACAATTGCAAGCAATATTGCAAAGCATCGAAAAAGAACAAACTGCAGGAGCGTCAATTTTACTTAAAAAGTTGAAAGAGAAAAACTGAATTTGAAATAATTGTTATATGTATATATAATGGATTTAACCAAATAAAGGTTTTAGAAAAATAGGTTTTATACTGATAATGTAATGTTTTCAATTTTTTTACATAATTAATTATTTCATGTAAATTTTGAGTGTATACATTAATTAATTAATGTCATTTGATATTAAAAAAACTGACCTACATTCTGATTTTATTATTATAAATTAAAACACTATTATGATCACATAAAATGCATTTGAAATATAATAAACGATATGTTATTAAATGATTTATGAAATTTAAAAGGAAAAGCTTTTAGAAATTTAGTTCCAAATGGTCACAATGTGATTATTAATTAATTGCCTTACCTTTGGTAACAGAAAACACATTGAATATTTGGGAAGTTTTTACAGAATAATATTATGCTATAACGTTCGTTATATTTTGCCAATTACTGTTTTTCTGTTGATAATAGTAATGACATTAATGATTGAAATTATGCAATACACTCACTCGATGAACAACTAAAAACAGCAAAACTAAGTTTTCATTAACTATTTGTTCATAAATATTAGAAAATATGCAATATTTTCAATATTACAAAAATTCAACACTTAAAAAATAAAACTGATTTCTATTATAAATATAATATACCTATTTTATAAGATATACTATATTTCAGTAATATGCCATAAAGTAATTTAATTTAATAGTCTAAATAATTGATGTTTTGATGTTAGTACATCCTAATTATAAGATTTGTTATAGTTGATAAACTGCATACTTTGAATACATAAACTTCCATTCATATAGAAGAATCATCATTTAATTTTGTAAAGATGGGATTATATGTCCAGTAACACCTTTATTCCTGAACCCAACACTGAAATGTAAGAATTTGCAAATATTAATATTTATATATTTTGAACTACGAAATAAATATGAAATAAAACAAAATATATTAATAACAATAACTATATATAACACATATGCAACTTGTCTATGTTACCATTATTCAGAAATGTGTGGTACTGGAAATATAAGTTTACTGATATATATTTTGTTTCTAGAATAATACAGAAATCAAACAACATAGTGTTTACATTTTCAGCATTTCTTTAATATCTATAACTCTTGTTCGAATTTCGGGCTGATTATCTTTTGTTAAATCTGGCATTAATTCTTTGACAACTAATTTAATTTTGTCAAGATTTTCAATATTATTTGTCTCATTTAATTTTTTTGAAAGCGATATAACTATATTTAATCCTTCCTTTTTTATTCTGGTATATTTCGGAGTACCTAAAGTAATAAAAAGAAAAAAGATATATATAAAGGAATCTAGCAGTCTAAAACTATTTACTAAAGTTATTCCAATTCGCTTACTTATACAATGTGATAATATATTGCAAAGCATATCACATAATGAATTTAATGTTTCTTTATCTTTTGTCGACATATTTGCATTATCTATTGTAAAAAGAACAAGTTTATCCACAAAATGATTTAATGATGTCAATATAGCAATTTGTACAAATATTGTTGTGTTAGGTAGTACTTGCTGACAGTGGTGTACAAATTCTATACAAAATTCATCTGAAAAATATAATTGTACAAATAATATATCTACGTACTTGAACAATATAGATATAATTAAAATTTTTTAACTAAATACAAAATTATTTTACCCTGTGTCTTTTTAGAAGATGGCCATGCTTTCCCAAGCACTTCATATACTACTTTTTGTAACTTAATATTATCTTCTTTCCTTTTAGAACTTTCAGCGATGGAATCATCACCATCATCATCAGTGTTTTTATTTGATAACTATGGGTTTTAAATAATGTTTTAGACTTAATAATTACATTAAATAACTTATTATCTGTTAATACTTACCTTTGTTAAAATTTCTTGAGCAATATTATAAACTTCTGTAAATTTATCGACATCCAACTCATGTAATACCGTACAAAAACCTTGTAGAGCATGTTGACGATATTCTACTGCTTCTTTTTTACTTTCTCTATATAATGTTTCTATTATGATTTCTTTCAATTTTTCATCTTCATTTAAAGTTTCTCTAAATTTAAAATTAAAAATAAAAAATAATATTAATGACAATATAATGATATAAGAATCATATATATAATGTCTTGTAATAACAATAGTATATGCGATCTTACTTGCTATTACTTGCTAACGTAGCAAGAGCACTTAGAAGTTTCTCTTTACCATTCCACGTTCGTCCCCGTAATCCATCTGTCAATACTTTCAATAAAGTATTTCTTGCATCTACATCAACACCACTACCTAACTTTGCTGCCACTGTATTAATTGCATTTGCTGCTTGTACTTTAGTATTCCATGACGCTGATTCTAAAGCTCCACTGAGGGTAGTAGTTATTGCATTTAAATTTTGCCTAATTCCTGTTTCTGTTCCTGGTGTTATATCATTCCATAATTCAGTCCACAATGCAACTGTATTTTCATTTACTACAAAATAAATTATTTAAAATAAAGCAATATATATACACATAAATGGTTAAATATATTCAATATGATTGTATTATTTTATATATTCAAACCTTGAGTTTTCTCAGCATGCATTGCAAAAAATATAAGAGGTATAATAATATTGAAATAATTTCTTAGTAACTCTTGATTATGATTATTTATAGATTGCAAAGCTTGCCCGATTCCTGATCTCATGGTATCATCTAAAAAATAATTCCTACTTGTTAAAACATGTTTAATTTTATTCAGTTTTTATTCTAAAAATTATTCTTGTCTGTTCTTTCATACCTTCATTTTCCATGTAGCAAGTATTTAAGGTGTTAAATAATTTTTGAAGACTAGATTTTTTTGCTGATCCAACAACATGACCAATAGCAACAGCATTATTTCTTCTTACTGCTGCATTACGATCAGATAAACCATGTATCAAAACAGATAAAAGCTTACCTATGGAACATATATAATTATAATTATATATATTCAATATACAAATTAAAAATAGTAATTATTATATTGTATTTATATTAACCAGCATATGGTGTCATCTCTTGTTTCAAAGAAGTGCTAAGAAGAATCAAAAAATGTGAACAAGCAATCTTTGTTCCAAAACCAACACTGCATTTTATTAATTCTATTACTTTTGGCATCAAGTCTTTCAAAATAGGTGCATCAATATATTGTATACACTGTAAAAAATAAACTAATTATTATAACTATATCTTAATTATAAAAGGCAAGTATTAATTATGGAAAAAATTTACTTTAGATATTGTTTCCGTTCCATGATGACCCTTCGCAACAGAAGTTCTTAATGCATCAATAGCATCTTGTGCTTCGGATGTCGTACCATATGCATTACTTAAATATGACAAATTAGGATTCTCTGATTCTCCAATTGCACTTAAAAGAGCAGGTATTAAGTTGACTAGAGCAGGTTTAAGTAAATTTCCAGCTGATGTTACAAGCTGAGATACTGTTTGTAGTGATACTGCTCTTACAGTATCTACTGTATGGAGTATACCAATATCAAGTAATGGTGGTAAAATGGCTTGTAATAAATTTTCACCTGCTTTACCATATGAAGACTCACAATGTCGTATACAAACCTATTAAAACAATAAAATAATTCATATATTATATATGAAAATGTACTTTACTAAAACTATTTGTTACTTACTTTGCTAAGTACTTTAGTCGTGTTTGTAGCAGCCAGCCTTGTACCTTCATGAATATCATCCATTACGCGAAATAATTTCATCCACAATTCAGGAGCATACAATTCTAAATTTATATTAACATTTGCTCTTAACAAATCAGATAAAGCATTGCAACAACTTATACGCACTCGCCATTCATTATTCGTCAAATTATTTCTGATATCCTCTAATATTTCTTTATGATATTGTTCAAGCTAAAAAGTGACATAAAAATACACATGTCACGCAAACGTTTGTAAACAAGACGAAAAATAAAAAAAAATTTTTACTCACAGCTTTAATTGTAGAAGGAACAATTTCACGCCATATACTACTCATACTTTGTTGAAGTTTTGGAGTAGGATCAAACTGATATCTATATAATCTAGGTATGATACTCGGTAAATATTTATTTAATTCGTCGCTTGCTACACTAGCTATGGCTGCAAATCCAAATGCAGCACCTTTCTTAGATGTCCAAACTGCATTATGATTAGCTAATCTCATAAAATAATAAACCAATTCTGGATTTTGTAACTCGGTTGCAAGAGAACAAATTTCTCTATATGTTGATATATTACCACTAAAAAAATAAGTGATTATTATTCATTGAAATTGTAAAAATATGTTATTCAAAAAATATTGATTAGGCACAATTTGTCATTAATAAACTTATCTTACCCACTAGGACTTTTTCCTAACTGGCCCTCTTCAAACAATTTTGTATCACTTGTAACTTGTTGTACAGTTCTGCGACCTTGCATAAACTGATCTAATATAGATGATACTAAAGAATTACGTTCTTCTTGTGTACTATTAGCATGTACTAGACTAAGTCCTTTTGCTGCTAAATCCTGTATTATATCTATTCATAAACAAAAGTATATTATATTATCTAAGTTTTCAACATATACTATTTGTTCAATTTTTGATAAATATTGCATATTTACCACTGTCCTCAGAAAGAAATTCTATAAATGCATGATGAATTGCTGATAATTTTTGTTTAATACAATCTCTCTGAACGTTATGTTTTAATAGTGCTAACAACCATATGCATGTTGCCTAGAGAAAAATTATAGTTCAACATTGCTAATCTCAAATAGAAATGAATAAAATACTATATCAAAATCATACTTTATACCTGTCTAGAATTAGGGTGTGGTATCTTGTACAACTTTAATAATTCATCTAGTACATATATCAAAAGTTCAATACTCTTATTGTTGAATGAAATTTTATATTCACTAGGAAGAGTGGTCCATGCATCTCTTCCTTCTGGAGATGCTTGTCCTTGAACGCAACATACCAAAGCTTCGCCCATAATTAAATGAATTTCAATATCCTTGGTCTATGAGTGAAAATATTATTATATAATATAAATAACATATTTAAAAGGAATATTATAAATAGAAAACATACTCACTTCTTTTGCCATTGTAATTATTTTATTTATTATATATGTAGTGTGTGGAAAATCCTCTGCAACACATATGTATCCTAAAGAGATTACTGCTTTTTCCTTCACCTGAAAGAGAATTATTTTTGAAATATAAAAAACAATAAATATCCATATTTTCCTAAAATAATAAAACAAACCTTAGTCTTTATTTTTACATCAGTTACTATAGAAAAGAGTGTTTCTGTAATTGCTTTTTTATTTAAGTCATCATTTCCTTCTGCAGGTAATGGTAAAGGAAATGTTTTTCCTACAATACCAATAGCCTCAACCGCAGCATCCATTAGTAATGTTGTACTTTCATGAAGAAATGTACCTAAATATATAAATATATAATTTATTAATATATGATAAAAAAAAATGGTAACAATTTATTTGCCATATATACAAACGTACATATAATTTTAACAACATAAATATACATCTCCCAGTTTAGTAATTCGTCTCTATTTTCGTTTCGTTTAATTATTAAATTCCTCTCCATCATAAAAGTTAAAGCCAATAATGAACCATGCTGTGATTCTACATGTTTTTTCTTTGTCATATCTATAATTTCCGAAATATGTTTTTCGAAATCGATAGAAGAAAAATTAGAAGTTATAACACCATAGACTTTAGCAACCAAATATCTCACATCCGGTTTTGTAGATATGAGTAAGGTACGAAGCCATGGTAATTCTTTTTCATAAATTTCTCTCATATAATTTGGAATACAACCAACAATTTCTAATAATGCTTGCAAAGAAGTTGAATCTGCAAAAAATATCAATGAAATAATTTTTCCAATTTCTTATGTATTTTTATATATATCAATTCTTTCAAATATTACTCTTTGAAATAGTACCTGCAGAAGCATGAGTGAGGAGTAAAATCATATCAAGATAATAATTTAATGCCCCTGGTTGAGTTTCGTACAAATTTTGTAAATAACGTCCAATCATTGGAGTATATTCGCATGGATGCTGCAATGGCTCATTATATTTCGGTATATTAGCACTTTTTGCGAGACAAACTCGTAGATAATTAATTATCTGTAAAAATACATACAAAGTAATAATAATAAAATTACTTTATATTATTATTCGAATATAAAAGAATGTACCTCTGAAAAAGTAGCAATATTAAATGGAAGTGTTTTACTTCCTATATTTATTTTTCCGCCGTTTGGCATAGACATTCTTATTTGCATTTTTGAATGTATATAAGCTACAAGGTCTGAAAAATCTGGTAGAACTATTTGTTTAATATCCTTTTTATCATGACTATCGCCATCAGTTTTATGTAAACCACTATATAAAGCTTTTACAGCTTCTGTGCTTATTTCATGTTTGTTATCACCGCATAACAAAAGTAGTAGGTATCGCGATGGAGCATCATCAGGAGGAAACACAGTCGCAGCATAATGCATAGCCACAAACCTATATATATAAATAACAATAAATTATTTATCTATTGATTATGTAATATCTATATCAATAGTCGTATATATACACACCTTACACTTGATTCTGGTGATTCTATATGAGCTGACAATAAAGCATTCATCAAAGTTATGTTACTTTTATCTTCTTTATTAAGAACAAATGCAGATGTTACAGATATTAAAGCATCTCGCACAGTTCTTCGTAAATCTCCGTCAGTCTTAAATTTGAAAAAGAAAATATTATGATGGATAAATGTTTAAAAATTTAAAAATATTTTTAAAATCTTGTACAAGAAGTATTAAATCAGTGCTTACCGATGTCAAGGTATCAAAAAGATTTTGTAACAAACTTAAATCTTTATTGATTAAAGAAGGTATTCTTTGGCCTAATTGTCCGATAACTGTATATGCCATAGGTTTATGAATTTCTTCACCTTCAGAGATTAATTTTATCATACCATTTAATATTACTCCTGCTACGCGAACTAATGGTGTAAGACTACACCTTGAGAAACAAATAAACATAATTATAGATATTCTATGTTTAAATAAATAAATTACATTTCCAAATTAAAAGAATAAACTTACTGTTGAACAAGATTAGATGTAAAACGCAGTGCTAATGATTTCAACTTAGAATTCGTATTTTTTCCATATAAAGAATCAAATACAACCTGTAATTTAATATAAATATCATATTATTATTATTATAAGATTTCAAATTGTATATTAAAAATACAACTACTTATAATATACCTGGATACATGAAGGTATAATAAAACCAGACTTAGTTAATCGACAAAGATAATGTAATACTTTTAGTCGAATACGAGTACTGGCAGGCAATCGTTTCATTTCAGGTTTAATTTCCTTTTGCGTTGCTAAACCATCAGTACCTAAGAATAATGTATAAAGTGGTGCAGCTATTTGCATCGATGACCAATCTAAAGAACTGAAACATACATATCCAAATACTGAAACAAACATAAAATGAAACATGATAATTATATTGGAAATTGTATAAATACCTCACAATTTTTTTCAATTCTAAATCTGCCATATTAGCAACACTAAATCTAGTGTCTGCAGCTGCAACAACCAAATGTATAAAAATATCTGAGTCAGGGAAAAATCCACTAGAAATGAATTTAACAATTCCCAATTTAGTTTGTTCCAGCTGTTCTGCTGTAGGTGGATGTTCACCTATAACTCTCTTGAATGCATATTCACTTAATCCAGGTGGAACAGGAAATTGAGGCCAATCAACAGTTCGATTCAATTGCTGATTATCACTTTGTCCTACCGATCTAATATTATACACAAGTTGTTTGTAATTAAAAAATGTATTATAATTAAATTAATCAAAGTACAGTAATCTTGCTTACCCATAAGGTAGCAATAGTACATCAAGCATAAAGTTGATTAATTGTTTTGATACATAAGGCTTATCTTGTAAGCCAAGTAAAGATACTCGCTTATCAGGATCAGCATGGATACTAATATGTCCCAAAGCTGGCATTATTATTAGCATTAAACTAAAAAAATTATACATATAAAATGAAACAATGTACATTATTTTATCTATCATATCAATTAGCAATTAAATATTTACAAACCTATCTTGATGAGATAAAGGCTTTCCATCAATAGCATTTAATACACTAGGGATTAATTCTGCTTGTTTTTTCATTTCCATACGGGGATATCCCAATTTTATATATATAATTGTAAAATTCTGAAAATAATATTGTACTCGTAATATTATATTACATTATTACTTTGTTATTAAAGTGCACATAAATAAAAGTAACATACAATTACAAATGAACTAGCAGCTGGATCCTGATACTGCAACAATAATGCTTTAACTGGTAACTGCACTTGAGGTCTAGTTTTTACCCTTCGGTTAATATGAATTAATAATTCCATCACTTTTTTTCTAACACCTTCCTGTGCACTGGACAACTTAAGCAATACTGGTGGTAGAAATTTACATACAGATGCTTGTAATTGTTCATCTGTATCTGCTGACCCCAGCCGAAGGAAAACTCTTTCAAGCAAAACTGTAATCGAACAATATTAATTAAATAATTAATTACAGAAAATATTTGCTTGATAAATACATAAATATTTTGTTAAGCTTTATGAAAACTTAGTTGACACAAATTGACATAATCCATTTGATAATTTATATGGTACAATTAATTGAATATGCATATACATATTTCAAATAAATTAAAAATTCACTTTTATTAAGAGCTTTAAAATAAAATAATTTGATATATAATGTATAACAAGTTAATTAATTACCATGTATAAAATCAATAATACACAAAAAAAAATATATTTAATTTAATTATATATTTATGACGATACAAAATAATGTAAATTATCTCAAATATTGAAAAATGAAAATAATAAATAAAACCCTATAGATTAACACTGTATTAAAAATTGATTTGTTTGACAGTCGAGTAAGCACGTGCTGGAATGAAGATGTAGCAGCTGACAAGGGTAAGGAGAGGGAGAGATGTGAATTGAGAAACTATTGAACTGAATTTTCACGAAAAATGATAGGTTTGAAGTTGTCGTTTTACAGGGCGGCATGACAATTGACTTTCTTTTTCACGTTAAAAAATACTTTAAAATACTAATTTCGCTTATTATAGTTGTCCAATTGAATAACTCAATGTATGACTTCCGAAATGATAAGGAACGAAATCAAATTAATTCCTTATACACCGAATAAAAACTTATTTTTTTCGGGACTACTCACTCAGCTCGTCCGTTGCTGCTGCCATTTTGAAATAGTGTATGAGAGAAAGCGAATGACATCGAGAAACGAGAAATGTCGCTGAATTTTGCAATTAATCACTTTATGTCGAATCACCTGCCAATGTACACTGATCGAACATATGCAAATTGAGTTATTTTATTCTATAACGTAAAATACGATAACGAATTTTAATCTTATTTCCGTTTATTCGTTTGATCAATTTGATGTACTGAAATCTTACGAAAATTTTCTATAAAATAAAAATATAAATGTAGGACGTCATTCCTAACAACGCAGTTATGTAGTCATCGTAGATATAGTTATATTATTTCTTTTTTTTTATTTTCTTCGTAAATTACTTATTTTTCTATTTAAATAACGCTTATTATTTAATAACGTTAAATATACTTCTAAATTGAGGTTAATCATCAATTTGGACTTTTATTTTTTATATCTTATTTTTTTTTCTTAACAATTATTAAAGATAATGTTAATAAAAAAATAATATATAAAAAAAAATAAAATCTCCTTTATACTTTGATTTCTTTTTTATATTTTTGTAATAATATATAAAATTTTAATCTTTTTAATTAAAAATATAAATTCGTACGTTTAAATTATATCAAAAAAGTAATATCGTAATTTATAATATATTTATAAGTATTATTACAATAATAAAATTGATAGAGGTATTACAAAATGACTTGGAATTCATTATTTCTGGCATAGGATCTAAGATAACTGGATCTATGTGTACATTAGGACAATCACTCTGAAAAGGAAATTAACATTTCACTAAAAGTGTTCAAACCTTCTTAAAAATAATATTTTAGATTTAAAATTTATGCTTAAATATATTCTTACCCAAATAACAGCAGTTATAACTTGCACAACAAGTTCCTTGAGAATTTTTGCTGCTTCGATACCACATAACACAGCAGTTAATGTATAGTAACAATCAGATATAGCTTTGAATTGGCTAGTAAAAAATGATGATATTCACACATGAAATAAAATATTATATATAAATACAAATTATTTTTTTATATACATACTCGCATAATTCATGAATTTCCATATTCTCTGTCCAATCTGTTGGTCCTACACAGTCCAAATATTCATCATGGAGTTCTTGATAACATTTCATATATTTTCTAAATACTATTTAATTTAAATTTATTCATTATTCTTATAATAATCAATATATTTTGTATTTATACTAATACATTTTTTAAATAACTTACCAGATTGATAATTTGCATATACACAAAGTTTACTGTTGAGTACTCTTAATCCTGCTATAAGTTGCATATATAAGTGATCTTCTGGCAAAGGTATACACGTTTGCATTACATTATCGATTGAATCAAGACTTTCAACTATTTTCCTTTAATAAAGATGAATAGATTATGTATTATTCTCTATTTACAAAAATTTCTAATTTCAGTAAGATCACATGTACCTACAAACCTACAAAGATGTTCAATGTCCTTGTATGTAGCAATTAATAATATACCTTCTGGATTAATAACTTGTAATTTAGCAAGATAAAATAATATCTGATCTTCGTCGCACTTAATTTTTTGATCTGATGCTAATGTGTAATAAATATATATTTAGGTTATCAAACAATACAATTCTATTAATGAATTAAATGTCATTTTACTTGTATGTGTAATTATTTTTGTTGTAAAAGAATAACTAGTTTCTTCTTCACATTCAGTAGTATTGCTTAATTCTGAATATTCAAATTCAGGATCTAGGTTATAATAATTATCCTCATATACTTCAGTTTGAGCATAATATTCTGCAGTGAACATTATAAAAATTAAATAAACAGCAAATAATATATGCAAATGTGCAATTTCCATGTAATATCTTTTGCTTAATTGTCCTCATTCAAATTCTCCTTCACAAAAGATTAAATTAAAAATTACCGCCACATTGTGATATTTCTTTGAAGTTGTCAAGCATCTACTTTGATATTTATTTAAATATCGATATTATGTGCCTTACAACACTATTATATATATATATATTTTGTGTATAAATTTATCTTATAATTAATATTATATGTACATTAAATACATTTGAATTTTTGCATGTTACGAGTACATTAATGTATATTAAATGTTTTATATATTTTTATGAGTAAATAAATATTTTTCTTTAGGTTTAATTGTATGTAAATATTAAAATGTGAATTAACACGATAATACAAATTTTAAATTTGGTCACGTAAATTTTCCGCGATATAACAACCAATGAAAAAAGCCGAATTTTTTGTATAAAGTCCTGTCGTCTGCTAGATCCGTATTTTTAAGATGAACCACGTTTCTATTTAATGACCTTCAAGATCTGTTTAGCAAAATAGAGGTCAAATTAAATCTTTTATATTTAGGAGTAAATAATTAATGATCAGGTGAATTGTATGTATTATCGTTAGCTATAAGTAATATAATTAACATTATTATGCTTGTTTATTTATGTTTTTTCTATACTTTTAAATGATGTTAATTTCATGATTGACCTTGTGCCAGTTTGGTTGTTTGTTTCGTTTGAATTGGCTTTTAGTGGTATTCTCAGCTGATATGAAAATCGTATCACTTAAATGAAATTATCTTATTAAGTCATAAAAATACTAATCCGAGTATATGTGTGAGTATATGTATTGCATTTAAAAATGGTACATATATGTTTATTAAGTATAGAAATTTAATCACTTGTTGCTGTTACTCTCCGTTATATTCTTGTGCAGCATAATAAGTAATTGTAACAATTAGATTTAAATTAATATTAAAAAGAAATAATATTTCGTATATCTTTTTCAATAATTTTTATGTTTTAAAAGCAAAGTAAATCGATTGATTCGTGTCCGGTACGGTAAGAATTAATTATTTTAAATAATATTTACTGTTATTCAAATTATTTCATAGTATTGTAGAATAAAACAGAAGCACACGTCATATTAAAATGAAGGTATAAAAATAAATTTCATAAAGAATAAAAATTATTCATTTATATATATATAATATATAGAATATTTAAATACCTTTTTTTATAATATATATTTTTTTATTTTAATAATCTAATTATTTGTTACCACATAAGCATTGTTATAACAAATATATAAATTATAATTTATTAATAATATTTATCAATATTATATTTATTAATTTATTATTACATAGTTTTTATGTTTCTTATCTTTATTTGTATAAGAAGTAAACATGTGAATAAAATGTTTACAGTTTATCAATTTTGTTTTGTATTCTTTTTGATGTTGTAAGTTTGGATTTTTTATTCGATTTACAGATATTCTGTATACGAATATATTAAATTATAGATGATTACTACAACATATTTGTTATAGGTAATACTATGTGTCATCTTCTACTGTTCTAAAGCATAGTAAAAACAACATTGCAGCTGGTTAATAAAGACTCATTTGTATACAGATTTTATATAAAGCTATAATTCTAAATTAAATAATCAAATTATTTTTAACAATGGATTCAATGCTTAAAATAAAGCAGTTTTTTGGAAAAGCAATACAGAGATTTAAGAACTTTTTACAACGTCTATATAAATGCAACTGTTTGAAGTTTCTTTGGTCTTGTGTAAGTTCTGATATATTTGAAATAATGTGTGTACATACAAATTTCATAAATATTTATAAAATCCTTTTATATTTGGCATAGAATTATTGTTACGATTTTAATAACAGCAATCTTTCTAAACATAATTGTTACTTTAAAAACTAACAAATCTTATGGCAGGAAGTATTTCTCCTCATCCATCCACTAGATCATAGAGTTGTAATCCAAGTACGTAGAGTAAGAATAGCTTCAAGCTTTATGTATGTTCATGCAGCAGAACTGTGTAATGTAATACCATGCGTTTTGCACGCTATGTAACTTCTTTGTGTCAATAACTTATATTAAGGCTCATGTTAGCCAAATGCTTGTCTATTTACTTCGTTTAACTTGTAAGTACTAATCCTCCAGATAAATATTTTATTTTTAAATACACTTTATGGAAGCACAGAATTTTGTATATATGTATATATACATATATAAAATATTTTTAATTGTGTTCCTGAATTTATTTTGTATTATACTTGTAAAAATACAAATTTACATTTGACGGAAGTAAATTTGTATAGCGGTCAATATTCGTGCGATGTTATAATGTAAAATAGTGTAATAATGTGTGCAAAAAAACATGAAAATCTGCTATTAATGAAGCTTCCTTACATCAAATAATCATTTACTTACTTAACAAATAACTTTAGTTATTTTAAATGAAATTTACTACTATTTTTAGGCAATAAGTAACAATATGGTTGAGCGTGGTCCGTCTACGGAGAACCAGGACTCTCAGCAAGTAAGAGTCTTGACTCTAAATAAAGGAGAACATCTTGATGGAATTTTATACAAACTTAAAAAAGGTATATATTTAATATAATTGTAAAATAATTTTATTATTTTTTATATTATAATTAAAACCAATCAATTTTTATTTAGGATGGAAAGTTGAATTTAAACTTGGAGCTTCTCTTCTTGGAAAGACGCTTGATGTTTTTACTAATCATCCATTATCAAATGATCAGAAATTTGAAAGGCACACATATTATCAATTACCTTGGATAAATGATTCTGCTAATTTACTTTTAACTTTACCTGGTTCCTTTCATTATTACGTTATGGATTCTGGGTAAGACGTTATTTATACGAATCATCATTTTGTAACTTTAATTTAATATATGAAACTGTTTATAGTTCTGAATCAAAAATAAAAGCCACTGCTTCTGGATATTTAATGGTGGATCCTGAATTAAAAGTAGGAGAACGCGGAGAATCATTACCGTTAGACTGTATTCAATGTCAAACTGTGTTAGCAAAAAGTTTAGGACCTTTTTCCACTTGGGAAAATAAATTACTGGTAACCCATAAGTCTGGATACAATGTTATACATTTTACTCCTATTCAGGTAATTAATATATTTTATTAAATTTTATTCGCTATACAATATCCATAAAAATATTTATTTGTAGGAACTAGGATTTTCTAAATCATCCTACAGTTTAAGTGACCAATTAAAATTGAATCCACTCTTTAATGATGGAGATAAAGCAATTACTTTCGACGATGTTGATGAATTTATAAATAAAATTCGTAATGAATGGAAAGTAAGTAATATTTATAATCCAAGAAAATATCTAGCACAGAACTATATTTTCATGTATCATTTTGACTAATTTACAATTCTATATTATAGATGTTGAGTATATGTGATATTGTTTTAAACCATACAGCAAATGAAAGTCCTTTCTTAGTCTCTCACCCAGAATGCACATACAACTGTTTGAATAGTCCTCATTTACGTCCTGCATACATTTTAGACGCTGCTTTATTTGAATTAACAATTCAGGTTGCTTCTGGAGAGTGGGAATTTAAAGGTATCCCTAGCGTAGTTGAAACTGAAGACCATTTAAATGTAAGTTGCATATATTCATTAATATTAAAATTGTTAATAATTAATGATAAAATAACTTTAACAAATTTGACTAAATCTAAAGGAGAAACTTTATTTATTTCTTTAATTTTCAGTCTATTCGTCATGCTCTGCATACATATTTCTTACCACTTGTAAAAATTCATGAATTGTATATATTGGATATTAATGAGACAATAGCAGAATTTTTAAATTTAGCACGAACTCAAATCCCTCAAGATGTTAATGAATTACCAACAAAAGACATTTCAATAATAAGAGATCCCAAATATCGTAGATTAAAAGCAACTATAGACATGCCACTTGCTCTTCAAAAATATAATACATATAGGTAATAATTTTATTTTTTAATGTATCCTTATTAATATTTAAACTAATATCATTTAATTCAAGAAACAAATTTGTTATTTTATATTGCATAGGGCTGATTGTTTTGATGAGGAAACTCGTCTGAAACGTTGTGCAGAAGATCTTAGAAAAAAATTACAAGAACTTAATGATATAATTATAAATGAAGTTCAAAATCATTTGAATGCGGCTGTTGAAAATACAATTTCAGGCATACGATATTTTAGAGTGCAAGCAGATGGACCCAGACTTAAGGAAATCAGTGAAAGAAATCCGCTTGTACCTCGGTAAAAAAGAACTATAATAAAATAAATATAAATGAAATGAAACATTGTGTCATAAGTTTTCATCAATTTTATTTTGTAGATATTTTACTGATTATGGAGCTCCTAAATCATTAGTTGAGAGAGAAGCAACAATGTTTTCAGAAGCTGGTTGTTATCTGATGGTTCATAATGGATGGGTCATGAATGGTGATCCTTTAAAAAATTTTGCTGATCCTGATTCTAATGTTTATATTCGAAGAGAACTTATTGCATGGGGTGATAGTGTGAAATTAAGGTAATAGAGTACATTACGTTATTAATGATTTTGTTTGTTAATATTTGTTTAAATCTCAACTATTATTTCAGATATGGTGAAAAACCAGAAGATTGTCCTTTTCTGTGGGATTATATGACAAAATATGTTGAGCAAACTGCCAAGATTTTTGATGGTATACGTCTTGATAATTGCCATTCTACACCTATTCCTGTTGCTGAGGTATATTAATATTTTTTTTACATATAATTTCTTAATAAAAAGCTGGATCGAATATACTGATTATAGAACATTACATTTTTTCGTAGTACATGTTAGACGCTGCTCGCCAGATTCGTCCTGATTTGTATGTAGTGGCGGAACTATTTACAAATTCTGATCAAAAAGATAACATTTTTGTTAATCGTCTTGGTATTACATCTTTAATTAGAGGTATGATAATATTAAATTATAAAACGAACTTTTAAATATATTTCTATCTTATACACATTTGCAATATACACATGTATATAATATATATAGAGGCAATGTCTGCATGGGACAGTCATGAGGAAGGACGATTAGTTTATCGATATGGAGGAGAACCCGTTGGGGCTTTCTTGCCATCACGTAAACGACCTTTAGTACCATCTATAGCTCATGCTCTCTTCTTGGATCAAACTCATGATAATCCCAGTCCAATAGAAAAACGTAGTGTTTTTGATTTACTTCCAAGTGCTGCACTTGTATCAATGGCATGTTGTGGTAGTGGAAGCAGTCGAGGATATGATGAATTAGTACCACATCATGTAAGTCTTTTATGTTTATTTAAACCATATTAGAAACAAGATTTAAATACGATTGAATAAATTGTAAAATTTTAGATTCATGTTGTTGATGAAACAAGACAATATGCATCATGGACAGATGATGATAATTTGGCAGATGGTATTAAATTTGTAAATTACGGAAACGGTATAATTGTAGCTAAAAAGGCATTGAACGAACTACATTATATTCTTGGCAAAGACAAATTTTACCAAGTGAGTACATTTACTAAGAATCTCATAATAACTTATGAAATCAGATTAAAATAGCAATTCATTTTTTTTACTAACTTATACTACGTTATAGGTATTTGTTGATCAAATGGATTCTGATGTAGTTGCAGTAACAAGACACTCACCCTCTACTCATGACAGTGTTGTTTTAGTTGCTTTTACAGCATTCAAACATCCTGATCCTAATGCTAATGATTTAAGAAGATATATAAAGCCATTAAGAGTGGAAGGTGTTGTAGAAGAAATCATTTTGGAAGCATCATTATCACACAATGGAACAAAGTAAGACTTTAAATTATATTATATTTAAATTATATATTATATATATTATATTATATTATTCTAGAAATGGTACATCTCCGTTTCTTTATCCACAAAACTTTGTAAAGGATGAAAACATCATAAATGGAATGTCTGAGTATGTTATTAATTTAAAAGAGCATATTCAAATTTGTGACTCAACTATGTTAGAGAAAGTTGATTCAGGAGATCCTAAAATAACACAGCTTAACTTTATTAATTTTATACCTGGTTCTGTCATCGCTATTCGGTAAAAAATTGTAAAATTTATTTTAATATTTATATACACATATATATTTATATTTTATAATTGTAATATTATTATAGGGTATCTCTTCATGCTAATATAAAACCTGCTTTAGCCAAACTTCAGAACACTATTTCTTTAATTACATCAAACAAAAGCTCAGAATTGCGAGTTATTGTATCTCGTATGGATCTTGTAGATTTGAATAAGGCTCTCTATAGATGTGATCAAGAAGAACGCGATGAAACTTCAAATAAGTTTGGAGTATATGATATACCTGGTTATGGACCTTTAGTATATGCAGGATTACAAGGTAATTTAATATAATAAATTACCATTTTTTATGTAAATTATAATAAATATATATTTATATTTATTTGCATTTTCATTAGGTGTTATGTCTGTGTTAGCAGACATTCGGCCAAATAATGATCTTGGCCATCCTTTATGTGCTAATTTAAGACAGGGAAATTGGTTAATAGGTAAGAATATTAACATATTTTAAACTGCCATAATACTGATATCAAACAAACATAATTTATATTTTACGTTATATTATATAGATTATATTTGGCAACGGCTTAAGGAAGATCATGGTACTAAAGTTCTTGGAGATTGGTTGGAGGAAGTAGTTGAACCATTCAAATTAATTCCACGTTATTTAGTACCAAGCTACTTTGATGTGATTGTTACTAATGTTTATATGACTTTGCTGGAACAATGCTATGCTTTAATGTCAAGGTATTAATGTTTGTGCCATTATATTAAATTAACATGTATTAAAATAATATTATTATTCAAAATAATTACTATTATAATTACAGTTTCGTGAAGAACGGTTCTACTTTTATTAAAATACTATCTTTAGTCTCAGTACAAATGGGAGGTGTAGTAAAATCAGCACAATTACCAGACTTATCTCCAAATTTAGATTCTCCTAAGCCAAAAGTTATACAATATAACGGAGAAACAGAACAAATATGTTTAACATTATCGGCAGGTCTACCACACTTTGTGGTAGGATACATGAGAAATTGGGGTAGAGATACATTTATTGCTTTAAGAGGTTTACTCCTTTTAACAGGTAGATACCAAGAAGCAAGATTCATAATTCTAGGATTTGCTGGTACTTTACGACATGGTTTGATACCAAATCTTTTAGATAAAGGAAAAAATGCAAGGTAAAATAAATAAATAATCATATATTTAAAAATATTAACTTAATTACTATATATGTAATGTTTTTATTGTTTATAAGGTATAATTGTCGCGATGCCTTGTGGTGGTGGTTGTATACTATTCAATGCTATATTCAAGAAGTTCCTAATGGTTTAAAGATCCTATCAGATAAAGTTTCAAGACTCTTTCCCAGTGATGATTCTCCTGCATTGCCTGCAGGACAAGTTGTATGTTTTTATTTTAATATATAGCTTTTATATATTTCTAAATAAACTATTAATACGATATGATCAGTCAAATATGATTTAAATACATGTATGAATATATTTTAGGACCAACCTTTATATGATGTTATACAAGAAGCACTCATGGTACATTTTCAAGGACTTTGCTTCAGAGAAAGAAATGCCGGAAAACAAATTGATGAACATATGACTGATAGAGGATTTAATAATCAAATTGGTGTACATCCAGAAACTGGTTTTGTTTTTGGAGGTAATGATGCTAATTGTGGAACATGGATGGATAAAATGGGATCGTCTGAAAAAGCTGGTAACAAAGGAAAACCTGCTACACCAAGGGATGGCTCCGCTATAGAAATAATTGGTCTTAGTAAAAGTATTTTGAGTTTTCTAGCTGAATTATATAAACAGAATCTGTTCCCTTATGGTAGTGTTCAAAGGAAAAATCGTGATGGTAAGAAAAAATCTGCAGTTTTAAAAACATAAGATGTTAAGCAGATATATATATTAAAATATAATAACTTATAATATTTTATTTATAATATATAATAGGAACTGTAATAACCTGGAGTTATAAGCAATGGGCAGATAAAATATCAGCAAATTTTGAAAAATATTTTTATATAAACGAAGTGTCCACAGAAGGTGAGTTAAAACCTGAATTAATTCACCGTCGTGGCATATTTAAAGATAGTCATGGGGCCACTCAAGAATGGGCCGATTATCAATTACGTCCTAATTTTCCAATTGCTATGATAGTTGTAAGTATTCTTTTATCTTAAATCAGACAAAAAAATGTGGTTTTTGTCATACATGTTATATTAGTTAATTCATTATCCTAAAGGCTCCAGAATTGTTTAATCCACATCATGCATGGACAGCATTGAAGAAAGCAGAAGATATTTTGTTAGGACCATTAGGAATGAAAACATTAGATCCTGCAGATTGGGCATATAATGGTTATTACGATAATTCAAATGATTCTAATGATACTAAACTTGCACATGGATGGAATTATCATCAAGGACCAGTAAGTTGACTGACATTATTAATTAAATCTTTTATATTATGTTATTAGTATTTGTAAGGAAGAAGAATCTATAAAATATTGCTTTTTAGGAATGGATTTGGCCAATGGGTTATTTTCTGAGAGCTCGTTTATATTTTGCCCCGTTAGTTGGGGACATAGATGAACTGCGTCGCACAATTGAATCAACTGAAATTATTATTTCACGACATTTTGTCGAGGCATCTACTAGTCATTGGCGTGGTCTTCCTGAACTTACTAATAAAGATGGAGAATATTGCAGAGATAGTTGTCGAACACAAGCATGGAGCGCTTCTTCTATACTAGAGGTCTTTTTATATATAATCATATTAGGTCTACCTGAAAGATCTGTCTGCTTTTGAATTAAAAGAAAATAATTCAATACATTTATTAATATTTACTGAATAATATAATTTCCAATTTAGAAAAGCACATATTTTCTTAAATATAATGATAAAAAGAGGCAACCAAAGAGGTTCAAACAAACACGTTCATACGTATTGAAACTTGAGATAACATTATCAGATAAAACTTTTTGGTAGACCTAATATATATTGATCGTATAAAAAAGAACTTATTTTTTTAAAAACATATTTTTGCAGGTTCTCCATGATTTAGATAAAATCAAACAAAAATTACAATCTGAAAATCAAGATTCAATAAATTGATACAATTTTGCGTGTGTTCACCACCGCCGACTACACTTAGAATGTTTAAACTTAGAAAAAAGAAGTAGTATTAGAAAAAAAACCGATCACGAAAAATTATGTACTTTTGAGAAGGTAATAGTAACACAATGCACGGAGACACACGCATATGATAAACAGCACGTTAATTTAACTAACACACTGCCGAGTAGCACTATAATAACTTTCCCTGCAGTTGATGAAATTTTTTCGTCAGAATCTAAAAACATAACAATAGAAGATGATACAGAAAATAATGACGAATCAAAAGTAAGAAAACAATATTATAATTCTGATTCTAAGAATGATTTGGAGACTATTGAAACTTCATTTGATGCAACAGAAATATCTAAATCTCGCAAAGTAGATGTTACTCATAAGACTGCAAAATTCATTCGAGAAAATGAAATACTTGCAAATTATTCTAAAAAATATTTCAATAAAAATAAGGAGACAATAGTAGATAAAACTGATATAAAACCTTCATCTCCAAGTGATCATGTTTACGAGGAAGTTGGAAGAATTAAAGAGTCTCAATACTGGCCTGAATTTGATATTTTAGATTATTATGAAAAATATAGTCCTACAACGGCAAAGACTTTAATAAATACTCTTCTTTTACCAAGACAAAGAATATGTAAACAATGTGCCAGTTTAAAATATAGTCCAGTATATAGTGATCGATACTTTTACAAGAAAAAATCCTTATATGCTAAAGAAGTTATTTTACATCATCTTAACGATATATATTATTTTAAATATTCTTCGGGTGAAACGAAACGTGATAAATTATTTTCTGAAGACAATAATAATATTCAAGACTGTATGCCGTTTTATAATTATTCTAAAACTACTAAATCAGGGATATTTTACTTATGTGGACCACCAAAAGAAATATTTGATCTTAAAACAACGTTGGATTCTGAGATTATTATAATATCCAGTACTGTTAATTTAGTCAATGATGTAGTGAATACACAACTATATCATCGTTATATAAATGATAGATATACACGAATATCCAAGAACGGATATATACCTATGACTTTTGAAGTTAATCATGACAATATTCTCAGCACCATAAAAAACATAGGCTATGATACAGATTTACAAAATTGGATGAATTACCGTAACAATTTTTTGCAATCATGTACTTCAAAACAAGATGAATTAGTATTGACTGAGCACCATCCAAATAGATCAAGCCTATTACTATTAGAACCGTTATTACTAATGCCAGATTTGGCAAATCCTAGGCAAAGGCAAAATAAAAATCGTATTTCACATACAGAAAATATAAAAATAATCAAAATAATTATTGCTTATACTTTATCATTTTTTATATTAGCTATGATTACGTTCTATATAGTATATTTCACGTAGATTTTAAATATTTCTTGCAATAATATAGGAAAAAAAGAAAAAAATATGTTTAACATTTTTATGAGTTAAATACAGATCTTTTATTTTATTGGATGTTGATTGTTATCTTTTTTTTAAATTTATTAATTTTAACTTAATTAATATTATTTATATGCTTCTTATACTATTGAAAGATGATAAAAATTTTATTATACGCTCGCTTCGATATTTAGTTATATGAGTATGTAATTATGCTCATATTATTCCTGTTCTATGCAGCATTGTAAGAAAATAAAATAAAATAAAATATGAATCATATTTTTAGTTAATTATATTACTTATTAAGTCTCCTTTATTTTTTTCTTAAATATCGATGTAAAGGAGTATTAAATTAAAAACTGTTTTACCCTACACTCTACATATATTTATTTTCGTTAAAAAGTAAATAATCATACATAATAGCGGGTAAATGCAAGCTTTTTATATTATACTTCTATATTATTACAAAACATAATTTTCATAGTAGCAAAATGTTATTTTTCTAGTTAATAGTCAATTACTAAATTGTGAATTACAATAATCCAATAAAAATTTGATTATATCTGTTATAATTGGTTAAAAAAAAATTGATTTGTTTATTTTTAATATTTATTTTAAATATCATCAAACAATCCCTTAGGTGCAGGCCCTACGCGGTTTGTATTTGATGAAAACGACCTTGCATTATCTGAATGTACATCATACAAATTATCGCTTTGATAACCACGATCAAAGTGACTGTTTGCACCATATGAATTTATTTCAGAAGTTGTACCAACATAGTAATCTGTTGGATCGAAATCGCGTAATAGACCAGCTCCTGCAGACTCCACAGATTCGTCTCTTTTTAAAGAACGTACTAAAACAAATGTTCTTAGACAATTTTTGTAGAAAATATTAAATGACGTAAATATTTTTTCCGTTATTACAATTATCATTTATAACATACAAGTTATAATTACCTGTATCCATATTCTGTCTAGATGTTCTATAACGAGAATTTCCAGTATTACTGAAACGTTCTTGGAATTCACGTCTCCTATACATAGAATCTTCTGCTCTTTGTCGTTTTCGTCTTTCTGTGAAAAAATATAAAATCTCTATTAAACTAATAAAACATTATCTAATTTATAACTAATTGTAAGTTATTCTTACAATTAGACAGAAATATACTCAGGGATCAAATATAAATTAATATTTAAAATTTACCTCGTATAATAAGTTCTCTTCCTTCTTCTACGAGATCTGTTGTAAATTCGTCTTCATCAAGAAACTGTTGAAATCCTAGCATCGAAAGTAATCTACTTCCTAAACTAAAATAGGTTGCCAAACAGAAAGCTAATATTGCCATTGGAAAATAGACATTAAATCCATCAGAAATAATGGATATTACATCCATATGACCCATTACCTATAAGTATGCAAAAAGATAATACATTTATTATTCTTATATATACTTGTTATTACAATTAGATCTATTTACCTGAGTATAATGTGTCTCCAAAATGTGCGTTTTTATAATATGAGAATCCATATGAATAAGTCCCAAAAAATTAAGACACATGGGTGGTGTCAAGCGACATAACATCATGCCACTGAATATCAAACTATACTCATTTGTTTGATGGTGTGGTGCCAGATAATATAAATTTAAGACACGAATTTTTAAAACAGTTGAATAAGCACAATAACAAAGATAACCAATGATGTATGTAGACAATGCCTAAGCAAATAACATTTTATATTATCATGCACTACCAATAAGAATTTCATTATAAAAAATAAATAAAATTATTTACCTCTATTGTTAAATAATCATAATTTTCTTCAGCTATTTTAACAAATTGTGCAAACAATGACAGAACAGGTGATTTATTAAAAAATGTTACTTCTGACCAAACAACAGCTGCAGATAAACAAGCAGCACAAATAGCAGCAGTCTTTTGAACATAACTTTTAATAATACATTTCCAATACCATTCTGTAATTATATTATATATATTTATTAATATATATATTATATATTTTTACAAATATATACAACCTTAAGCGTGTGAATGTTTTTATATTGAAGTATTAAAATGTTATATATGATAGTTACCTATAAATATACTAGATTTTAAATATATCAATTTATTAAATTTCATGTTTCTTACCAATAACTGGATTGTAAATTAGTCGAAAAGGGAATGATCGATGTACAGGAAATGTTGGTTTAAATCTTCTCTCATGACTGACTTGATTTTTTTCTACGTCTTCCAAATGAAAAATCTTATCCACTGTAATACCCCATAAAGTTTCTACACGTTGCAATGTCTGTAAAGCTTTAATAGTCTGAAAGAAATGATCAACGCCATTTATAAAAAAATAAATATTATATATATATATATATTATTATTATGTAATATTAACATAAATATAAAAAAGAAATAATATAAAACCTGTCTGTGTAATCGAATCAAGGATTTCTCTGAGGGAGTATCAGTTGGTGTATCATCTGGTAACTGCCTTCTATTCATTCTATCTTTTAGTTCAACAGGTATTTTTTGAAAAATTGTTTCCAGATTAGAATAATATGGGTGGCCTGACCCAATAGATATTGAAGCAGCTTGTAAAGACTGAAAAGATATTTATTTACTCTAACATCATTTTAATTTACGAAAGCATTTACTATACTTCATTATAAATATAAATAAAGATACCTCGAGTATGTCATCTACTGTTTCTTCTGCCTCACATTTGTCTAAACTTAATTTAGCTATTTTAAAATAACTATAATGTAGAGTATAACCAGGTTTACTAGCATTCCATAATCCACGTGGTACTTCTACAAGTGCATATCCAAGAAGTAATACTAATAGAAATAAACCCCATGTATTTGATGCAGAGGAAGCAATAGCTTTTAACTTTTGACTAAAAATATATCAGTTTAAAATTATAATACCAAAAATTTTTCTAGTATATATACGTTACACATTTCTTACCCATCTAGATGTAATCCAGGCTTTAATGCGATATATATTAATAAGATACCACAAATGAATAAATAACTTCCATAATAAATAGCATTATCAATAAGTGCAGATTTTAACTTTCCTTGTACTGTAAAATCGCCTGCTTTTATATAAGATTGCATTAAAGGAAGTATTAACCATGTTAAACATTGTGATGTCCAATAGACAATTCTCCATAATTTTGGGAATACACTTTCTGGTATGTTTGGTAAAGGATCTTTGCATGCATGAAGTGAAACATTTGCAGTATTATTTGTACTTATATTACTCAAGTTATGTATGTGTTTTTCTACGCATTGTCTATAAACAGTCTGAATAAGAAAATGGTATTTATTATTTTTAATTCAGAAACTATAATGTATTATTAATACAAAACATTTTATACATCAAATTTCAATATATATAATTTTTATATATTTTATATATATTATATAATATATATGCAGCACTTACCGAAGAAACATCTAAGGGTAATATAAATATTATCAACAGTGAAAAGTACCATGCAATAAGCACCGAGACTGTAACAATAATATGCTGTTTATACACATTTCCATATTTATATAATACAGTCGCAGCAAGATAGAATGCTACAGCTATCTCTATCAAAAATGGCTCTAGAAACATTTTTGTATTATATTATCTATATTTATTTGTATTATACAACAGTCAATGCTGCACATCCCTGTTAAGGCATCAATATTTTTATTTATCTTGATCTAACTTGTTATCTATTTCTTGACTTTCTTTCAGCTTTTGTTCAGCTTCTTTCTGCATTCTTTCTAATTTCTCTAAAGTGACAGATTTTAAAGGTATCACTTTTGGTTTGCAAAGTATATAATCTGTAGTTTCCTCTTGATACAGAATTCCTTGTTTAGGAATAATTATATCGACTTGTTCAACAGTTTCATCAACAGATTCTGACATTTTTCTTTGAATTTCATGAATTTAAAAGAAAAATCGTTGTTGTTCTCAAATGTCCCATAAATTATTCGAATAAAACGAAAATTAAACTTTCTAATGTAAAATAAAATATCACAACATAGCACTCAAAAGAAAACTCAGCTCAAAACAATTAATTTATAATCATTTTAATGTAAAAACAGTCTAATTAAAGGAATTCTACATATTTAAAAACCATCAATAGATATACAGGGTCCACCAACTCAGACAACTGCCAACAACGCGAGAAGATATGAAGCAAAGAATAATTGATGCCTGTAATTCAATAAGTTCAAAAACATTAAGAAGTGTAACTAATTCAATAGGTCAAAGATTGCAGTATTGTATCAATGTCAACAGCAATAATTTCGAAAATTTACTGTAAATTGAAGCCTCATTAAGAATAGATATTCAAAAACTAAACGAATTATTTATCTTGTAAACATTGCCCTAGGATGACTTTGCATGACCTTGAGTCATACGTCGTTGTACTCCACTCATGACCCACTATTACGCTATAGAAAAAAAAACATATGAATCCATTTAAAAAAATCAAGTTGACCTTAAGAACTTCTGTATGTCTCCACCCATGAAAAAAATATTTACACTACCTTATGTACCTCTTCATGCCATATAAATTTTGTATATAACATTTTTTTATATTATAACAAATAACGGAAATATTTAGGTGCTAATAGTTGATGGACCACCCTGTATATGGCATGTGGCATTAAAATAAAATATAAAATCTTTACACAAAGAGACAATATAAATATTCACAATAACAATTAACCCACGAATCACTTTCTATAAGTATTTGGGTTAAAATAATATCGATAGAAACATTAATCACAGAATTCCTTTTTATTTAAATATATTTTTGTCACTTAAAAATATAAATATGTTATCGTTTTATAATGTCAATATACATTACAGATATACACTCTGCATACTAGAAAATATCGACGTCACACGCGTCACATATGCTCTGAATTGTCAGAATAACTATACCTCGTATACGAACGCATGCGCAAATATAAATATGCCTTTACAAAAAACAGAAAAGAAAAGGAATAAAGTGAGACGAATTGTCCTTGCAATATAAGTTTTTAAAAATTTTCTTAATAAATAAAAATTGCAATTAAATAAATGGATTACATAAAAAAAAAATATACACACAAATTTTTCATGATCAAAACTGTCAATATAACTCAGTCATACACTTGTTTTTAATACATAAGAATACTTATTTTACACGTAAACAAATTTAAAAATATATAGAAAGTGAAATTCTTTCATACTTTCAGTTCTCTTTTTTTTCAACGATATACTCATGTCATGAGGATAGAAATAAGTATGTTCATAATCAAATTTATTTACATGACAAATTATTAAAATTAATTATCACTTTACAAAAAAATATTTTTTCATATATATGGATGTATTTTATATGATTATTATTTATTAATTGTCAATTACTAACAAAATCGATATTAAAATATATGTATGTAACATTTAAATATTTACAATATTTATCTTGCATTAATGAAGAAAAATAATAGATATCTAACTACAAAAGAAAATTCTATATCAGTATTTTAAAATGCATATATAAAAGTCAAAATATTGATAATAAGAATTAGTAAGTTAAATATTCTTAATAACTTATTCATTCAGTATGTATTATTTAATTTTACTTATCTTTCATTCTATCTAAAAAATTGTCATGGTTACAAAAAAATAGTGAGAATTTTATAAATCTTCGTATATAAAAAGGACTAAGTAAATTACTCTTTTTCATTTACATTACATTTTGAAGGTGTAGAGCAAGCAACGTTTCTAAAATTTTCTTTCCAATCAGAAAGTGGAATTTCATCGTCAAATAATAAAAATTGTTCATTGTTATAAAACTTCTGCTTAGTTGAACTACTGTCATTGTTATAAAATTTCTGCTTAGCTGAACTACTATCCGTTAAATTTGTTGTACTATTCATAGAGAAAGTTTGATATCCGGTATCTTGAACAATATTAGAAGCACTTTGTTTTTCAGACATTCCCCAAAATATATTGGTTTGTTGCGAAGTGCAGTTTTCCAATTTATAAACCTGACTAAAATCGGGGAAGTTTTTTATTTCCTTCACATTATTATAATAATCTTCTTTATCTTTAACAATTTTATTTTTTTCATTGTCTTTGATTAAAGATGTTGAATTTACTACCACTGAATTCATTTCTACAGTTATATCTGTTTTCGTGTTTTCATGATCATTATTGGATTTATTTGAATTTTCTTCGTTTATAGTTAAGTTATCTGAAAATAAAGCCATAGCTAAAATCAATTTATTAAACATTGATAGTATAAGGTAATTATATGTTAAATATATAGAGTTGCTTCTAATATTTTTTATATAAGTATACCTGATACTTCATTATTTTCGGAAACTTCAATACTCTCCGAGGTAGACATTTCCATACTTTGACAAAAATTTAATTTCATAACTGGACGGGAACGAGTTTTCTTAATATCATCTACTGATGTGTCCTGAATATCAGGTATAGATGATATATTAGGTGATAAATTTTCAGAAAATTGTATAGGTGTTCCATAACGTTGCATTTTACGGGAACATTTCTACAAATAAGAAATTTGATTTTATATATTATATCTTACATTGATTTCTATATATAAAAATAGAAAGAAAAGTAACATTTTTAATGATTGTGAGAAACATATTAAAAATATAAGAAATATAAATTATGATACCTTTAATGGTGAGCCATTATAGAACATTCCACTCTCTGGAGGACTTTTACAGAACATTGAAGAAAGGTTTATTTTGATTGGGGAAACTAAGAAAGAACTTTGCTCTTCATCATCAGTACACTCAGTAAGGTTGAAAAATAATTTTCTCCTTAACGAATTTGTACTTAAATTTGCATCATCGTTATCTATATTTTTATTAAATGTAAAATATGGTTTCAATGCTTCTTCGACATTTTCAGGTAATATTGAAGGAAGAGATAAAGTTGTTTGACACGCACCTAAAAATAATTAAATAATTATTTTGTCATTGCAATAACTATTTATTGATATTTATTACCATCTTTTTTGATCATTTTAGGAAAATCTTTAAGTTTATTTGATTTATCGATAAGCCGCTTAGGAGTATTCAATTTAATGTCAATTTTATGTTCTTTTTTCTTAGATTCCCATGGGCTTGGTACTATCTCATTTGTCATAAAAAATTTATCAATCGCTTCCTGAGCCTTTAATTCAACGTCTGGATCTACATTATATATTTGTTCTACAGGAAATTCTTCTATTTTTGCTGGTTTTATTAGAGCTAATTCTTCTACGCTCCACGAGAATTCAGGTGAATTTTGAGGATCGGTGGTAACCTTTATAGAAAACAATAATATATTTTATATTATTATTAATCTCCTTTTACATAATAAATATATATATATATATATATCACCTTTTTAAAAACACTTGGACTAATAACAGATTTATGTAATCTATTAGTCAAGTCACTTTCAAATGGATTTCTTGCAACAAATTTGGTTAATCCTGATGGTGGTGTGCGATGATTTGGTAGATTTGTAAAACGACCTGTATTCTTTGGATGCATAATTTTCTTTTATCTTACTAAAATGTTTTATTTCAACTGTGCAAATATCTACGTAATTTTTTGTAATAAATAAAGGAAATGATATGAAACATTAAATTTAACAAATTCCAAATACTGAACTACTTCAACGAATGATTAAATTCAACTGGCAAACGATATATTCTTAATATTAAATAATCTTCATATGATGGCAATCAAATAAAGAAAAATTGATTAGTATAAAATATTATAAAAGATATATCGTAAATAAACAATAAAAATCAATGAACGAAATGAAATATATAAAATAATAAATAAATAAAATGAATTCTAAGATGAATTAGTCAATTTAAATTTATGATTGTTACGTTTTAGTTATGCGATTTATCTTTGACAAATATGTTTTTAATGATTATTCAAGTATTTGACAACAATGTATGTAATAATTTGAAAATCATCACGAATCTGTTTACACGTTCGAATTCACCAATAAACGGTAGCATAGTAAATCAAGGTAGTCGTTGATAAGCGTATTACAAAGTAACTAGATTAAAATATAAGCTACTTTAAATTTCTAATCAGAAAATTTTATTTAAATATATATGGTGTTTTTATATAAATATAGAAAAATTAGCATCTTTATTTTTTAAAAAATAGTATATAGTAATATTATATAATAAAATATTTAAAATTCGCGCGCGCGCGCATTTTTTTTTAATAACGTTATCTAAGAACATAATTATACCGCAGTATTTTTCGTTTATTACTAGAATTAATTTATCGTTTAACTGTATCAAATTTCTATTTATAATATTTTATTAATTTTTAAATATTGTAATAATATATTCATTATTCTTTTTATATATTGAGATATTACCGATTCATCGATTAATATTTTGATAACAGTAAAAAACATGTATCTATGTATATAAAATATAGATATATAGGGGAGATTTTCATTCGTACTATCTGTTTAAAAACGTACTTCTTAGTACGTATCATACGGATAAATATAATGACCGATTCTGCGCCAACCGCATGGTATATAGCGTAAATTGTGCATTGCATATTTTTAAATATAATGCATTAAATAAATAACTATTTTGATTGCAATGTAAAATTATCCTTCACAAAATAGATTATCTGGCTAATGTGAGTACCGTACCCTTGTATTTCCTTACACTACGTCATGAATCATCGTTTTAGGTTACTAAAGTTGTTTGAGATGATATCTTTATTACGAATATTTCTCGTATCATGCATCAATTTTTACTAATCCCACACATACACTTCTGTTCTTATTTATATATATTACTCTTATTTAATTATAAATTATTTATATTTAGTTTTGTTAATCGGGAAGAGAGATACAATATGTAAGATTATTGTTGCATTATACTTTATTTTACAAAACAGCAGTTCTATTGTATACGTATCTGCTTATACGCTTTTAAAAATGTATATATATATAAAATGTATATATATATAAAAAAATAGATAGTGCATGAAAATGCTATTAAACATATACTTCCTTTAACCTGATAGGCCTTTAAACACTAAAGAATATGTTTATATATTTTTACATAGAACCTAAAATGGCAGAACAGCAACAACCAACTCCTGATTTTAAGCGTATGTCTTTGGATAAGATAATAGAAGCGATGACTGCTGATTTAGAAAATTCTAATGGTCATTATGTTCAGTTTGGAATATCACCACAACAAACTCCACCGCATAATTGGAATGACTATCCTTCTGGTCAAGCGAGACACTATATTGCTAATCAATCTTCACATCCTACTATCTCCACATCTCCACAAAGTGTGCAACCAATGAATTCGATTGCAACTTCTTTATATATGCAAGATATACCAAGTTATGATAATACTACTACAGATCCCATGTATTTTCCACCTCAAACTGTAAACCATTTAGGTATTAACGAAAATAATGATTTAGTGGGAACTTTTGATGTTGGCGGAGGAAATTACATAAATGTTATTTATGGAAATGCATCACAAATAATGGCAGAACAATGTCAACTTTCAAATATGACACCTTATAAAAATCAAGGTGCAATAGATAGAGAATATGGGCTTTTCAATGAGCAACGCATGAATATACCATCTGATATGCCCAATCAAAATTTTAATGGGAAACAACTAATTGATAATCTTGTCTGTAATTGGGTTCCAAATCAGTCAGGAACTTATAGTCCTTTTGGTGGTTCTCCTAATGTTACACCAGTACCACAATCTAATGCGGATGTTAGAGATCCTGAAGATTTGCCAAGAAATATATCAGAGAATCACTATAAAAGACCACGAATGGTAGCAGAAGTAAAGCCTATGCGTCCTTCTTATTCAGACGTATTAACTAAATCAGCACCGACTCCACCTTCACCATTAATTTTACCATCTATGAAACCTAAAGTTGAATCCATGACAAAAAAAGTTACCAATAAAAGTTCAAAAAATAAAATGAAATCTACATCGTTAAAGAGACAGAATTCATCAGGGAGTGATGATCATAATTCCCCAAAATTTCAGGTTCCCAAAAAAGTATTAGAAAAAAATAATTCTAATCTTCCAAGACGATGGGTTTCCTTAGATAATCTAGGTTCACAAACTGAATCTCATGAAATAAGTACTTTTGACAGATCAGATCAGTTTGAAAAAAAGAAAATTTTGAAAACTTCTAAGAAAAATGACAAAAATGAGACGCTTAATAATTCGAAAGTTCAAAATAATAACTCTAAAACAACTGGCAGTGTACCAAAACGTCCAATACAAATAAATAACAATTTAAATACAATCAATAATTCCAGTCAAACAATTTCACCCGAAAGAATTGAAAAGAATCAGCAACAGAATAATAAAATTAATAAGGATGATAAAAAAATGACTAAGGAAAGAAATTCTAAACGCTTCCAAGCTGAAAAAGCACAGCAAATTAAAAAAGGTCAAAGAAGTCGTAGAAAGGAATGCAGAGAATCTCCTATTAAGGATCTATGTAAAAACTTAAATAAATATGCAAGTCGTTGGAGTAAAATTGTATTAAAAATTTTCTATTGGTTATTACACTTAATATCAGATGTAGTTAGTATGAGTGCCAATCTTGTTATTCAACTGTAAGTACTAATAAAATTAATTTATGAATTTTAAATATGTAATTCACGCATCCATATGTATATGTGTTATTATGTTTTCTATATTTTTTAGTGGTAAATGTGCTTGGTATCACTCTATACTCTATTTAAAATACTCATGGATTTATGTAGTAACAATGTTTTCAAAAATACGTATTCTTAATGCTTTGGGCAAGCAATTAGATCATTGGTTTGGAAATAGTAAATTTGCTTTTTGGCGTAAAATGAAGACCGAAAATGAAGAAAAAGAAGAAAATTCAAATTGGATACATGGTGGACTTGAAGCTAATATTGCACTACCTAGCACTGGAGAAGAAGCTATGAAGAGATTATTAGCTTGTAAAGGCAAAGATCCTTACAGTATACTTGGAGTTACACCAACATGTTCCGATGATGATATTAAAAAATATTATAAGCGCCAAGCATTTTTAGTGCACCCAGATAAAAATAATCAACCTGGAGCAGAAGAAGCATTCAAAATACTAGTTCATGCTTTTGATATAATTGGGGAACCAGTAATATTTTTTTTATTTGTAAACTGATAATTTTTTAATATATTGATTAATTATTTAAAAACAATATTATTTTAGGAACGAAGACAAGCATTTGATCAAACAAGACAGGTTGAAGCTGCATGGGGTGAATTAAGTGACTTGTTATCTCAATTACATAGAAAAATGGAACAAGCAGCAAATACAATAAGGTGTACAAACTGTGGTTTGAGGCATAAGCGAGTTCCAACTCAGCGTCCTTGCTATGCTGCCCGGTTTTGTGCACAGTGTAAGATACGCCACAGTGCAAAAGAAGTCCGTATTTAAACTGTAATTATTTAATTCTTTTTTCGCACTTATGATATAATTGTTAAAATTTAATTAGGGTGATATATGGGCAGAGTCTCGTTTAATGGGATTTCTTTGGCATTATTATGCTTGTATGGAAGGTGCAGTGTACGATGTCACTGATTGGGCTGCTTGTCAAGCCGGTAATTTAAAGCATCTTAGAGCAAACACACATAGCGTTCAATATAGGATTGTACTAGGTCAACGTCCACCACCACAGACTTCTAATAGTGGTAAAAAACGACAGCAAATGGATCCGAATACAAGGTATGAATACAAAACTAACAGTTAAAAAAAAAATCAATAAAGAAAATTTGGTATACATAAATAACCATAATAAACTGATTTACTTAAATTAAATTACAAGTTTTTAATGTTTTCTAATACAGTGAAGCAGATTTTGAAGAATTTTTAAATAATCTATATAACCACAGCAAACCTGGTAATCCTAATACATCAGCAGAGCAAAGTTCCTTTAGAGGAGATTGCAGAAGACGAAAAACCAAACGCAAGAAGTAAGCAAATCTATACAAAGCTTTGAAATCTTATGATATTTACTATATATGGTTATTGAATAACACATATTGGTTTGAAGTTCTTTTTTTTCCGAGTGATTGTCATCATAACGACAGGTACAGATCTTGAAAATATAAGTGGTCTTCAGTGACTGATACTCTCAATTTAATATTCTAAAAGTATATGACTCAATCAGAATACATAATACATGCAAAATAAGAATTATGATTTGCATTAGAATAATACTCTTGAAAATAATAAATTTTTTAAATGTTTAGGCGCATCAAAACAAAAAGTGTTAAAACAATACACGTAGAAAAATAATTTTGTTTCTGAAAGCAAAAACAATGTGCATCTTGATTTTGTTGTACATATTTAAAATAGCTTGTACTTTTTTAATGTAAAAGCCATAGTTTTCCTTTCTTTTTTTTTTATATATATTAACATTTGATCAAGATTTACAACATAATAATATAATATACTATGCTTTCAGTACAATTATAAAAATAAATGATTTTATGTTTAAAGGTATAAAACTATTAACAATAACAGTTTTATAATCTACATTACATACTTTTACGTTTAAAATAAACCAATATTGAAATTAATTACTAATATCAGGTATGATATATATCCATTTTTTCAAATCATCTATAGTTGTGAGATTACATAAACAGTTAATTTATTGAATACATTGAAAAGTTACTAATACTAGATTTCTTATGTAACACATAGGTATGTAATTAGTAGATTTTAAGAACAATTATTTGATTTAAATATGATGATATTTTACAATCAGTGCAAAATAATAAATTTTACTTTATTTGAATTAACGTATAATATAATATTACTTTGTATATTATTCTATACATAGAAATATTTACTAAATACATGTTAAATGAACGTGATGTGGAATTAAAACATTCTTAAAAAGATGATTACTTTATTTAAAGATACTCAGAATAAGTTTAATTAATATTAATAATAATCGTAATACCCTATTCTTTAATATATTTAATATATTATCTACAAAATTTAATTCTCTTTCTCTCTGTATGTTATCAATGCAGATGTTTTTAAAATTTATTAAATTTTTATTGTATCGTTTTTTGTTGTTATATATTGATTTTAAAATATTGTGGTAACTATCATATAAACCATGATCTCTATTATTTATATTTATTAAATTAATTATCAGAATTTTGCAAATTAAAGACTGATTTTCTTCTTTTTTTGTTAAGGATATGTTGTATTAGCATTTAGAAAATTTGACAGAACATCTGCAAAAATTAAATTAGAGATAAAGTTAACAATACTGCAAATGTTACATATATATAGAATTAAATAAAAAAATATATGTACAAATTTTTTCAGCATTGTACAAAGTGCATTATAAGTTAAGATGCTGAAATTAATATAAAAAGCAGAAATATTCAATAATCGTGTCATTTACAGAATATTATTGCAAAAACAAGAAATATCAATGACTAAAAGTATTATTTCAATGATGGTGGTATTATATACTTTTTCGACACGTATGTTTGTGTATGTATACAAGTCAATGGTAAATTCTTGCATTATAATTAATTTGAATCGCGAGAGTGCCAAAGTATGCCAGAATTTCATATTCATGTTCATTTAAAAAATTTTCATATATTAATTAAATTAAAGCTTCCTTATTTGTACTGCCATAAATTATAAAGTGCTTTGTATATGCAAATATATCAGCTATTAACATGTATATCATATGAATTTACAATAAAGCTATAAATTAGATGTACAAGCTATACTATATATTGTAACATATATCATTTATTTAATGATATAGATTTTATCTATACCTTACCTTTTTATAAACATAATAATCTACAAGATAAAAATATTATCTCAACACAAAAAAGAATTAATTTTTGAAATTATATATAAAAGCTTTCCATTAGTTTTTAATTGATGCAAGTTATTTATTAATGTTTTTGTGAAAATGCAAACAATAAAATATCAAAACTAAAAAATATTTGCATACATTTGTTTCAATTATAAAAACAATTAAAGTTAAAAAATATCAAAATATTTATTAAGCAATTTTTTTATATTATATTACATAACTTCTTACTAATTATAATATAAAGTAAGAAAATTACTTTCTAATTCATTCGAGCATTTCTTCTAAAAAGACAAGCGCATCTACATTATTAATTGCATTTTCAATGTCTCGTTTTTGCAATGTTCGTTTTTTGGTTTGTACAGTATACTTATAGGCTTCCTTTGCAAGTGAGTCAATAAAAAGTTCCTGAAAGGAAAATTCACGGCTATATAGAAATAATTATATAATTTTCAAACAAAGATGACTATGTATATATATGCAGGATACTCTGTGTCTGATGGTATAAGCGAGCAGAGAGTGATTCTGTATAAAAAACGAAGTCAAAAATATAGAATAAAATTTTTTCATATAAGCCTTTGTTTTCGAGAAAGATAAGTTTGAAAATTTGTGACACTCACTATTAGTTTGACTTAGTTTCTCATATAGCATATTCTATAAATAGAAATAAAAAAAAAAGTTATTTGAAATTCAGTTAGAAACACTTTATAATCAAATTATATACAAATAAAATTGAAATAATATGTATAAATTTAATTATTTATTACAAGTTAGAAATATTAAATACTAATTAAGATTAAATCTTACAAATTAAAATGGAATGCAAAGAGGAGTTTGATAAGACAAAGAATGAATTTCTGACATTGTGTTTGGGAATCAATGGTAGAAGAAATTCATACACAAAATTTGGGAACGAATGAAATGATTTTTCGACTAAAATGGAAATGGATTACAATAGAATTATAATCTCTCTCTAATGTAATTTAATTAATATTTTTCTTATTCCATTAAATAAATATTACATATTTATATAATAGAATCAAATTAATAATATGTTTATATTAGATTAAAATATAAAATTTTTAATTAATATTATAATAATAAGTAAAAACTATTAAGTAAACTGTATAGGGAAAAAAAATAAAATAATTATTACCGTTGATTTTGCTATTAAAAATACTGCCTCCTGGTTAACTAAATTTACGTCGGGATCCATTTTCATAATATTTCTTACTCTGCCTATAGGAAGTCGTACTAATTTCTCTCTTTGTTCTTCATCAACCTGAAGAATTGTATCAGGTTCCTCTAGAGAATCTTGCAAGCCTTCAAAATCAACTATAATATTACTTTCATCTGATTCTTCTTCATACATCAAATCGTCAACTTCAGTATTCGCCATGTTTATAGAATTTACTCTACACAATACCACAAAGTAATAACTTTAAATACCCTATGTGTATTATGTGTGTGTATCATACCATATAAAATTTTTAAATTAAAAACATAATCAAAAATATAGACTATAATATCTTATTAAATAAACGTAATACGAGTTATAAAAAAAGGATTAAAAACTTTTTATTTTATTTGATGTTATATCCGAATCATAGTAATTAATTTATGATGCATGAGTATGTAATACTTTTTTACGAGATAGTTTAATATTTTGAATTTGCCACATATATATTGTCGGTACGAAATGAGGTTAGTTATGTTTAGTAAATTTAGTTACATTTGTATATCTTCTAGAGGGCACTATTAAAAATATTTTTAAAGTGTATGTATATATATACTTTTGAAGCGCGTTTAACTATAGTGGCAAACCGTCAATTTTCTTCGATAAAAATTTCGTAAATTTATAAAGAAATGTGTGACCTTATAGACTTAGATAATTCTGCAGGTAGTTCATTGAATACAAAATTAGCATCGCCGTTAATACCTGTACCTTCAAATATAGAACGAAAAAATATAAATATTTGTGATAATAGACTTAATAATAATGCATTGATAGCAGGAAAACGTGAAAGTTTTGGAGATAATCCTTTTGATGCGATATTAGACGAAGCAATAGAAAACGTTCGTAAAAAAGAAGATCCATTTGAAACAGTATATGAAGAAGCTTTAATGAGGAATGATATCACTGCACAAGAAGAAAAAAACATAAATATTACAGATGATCTCAAAGCTACATACACACAATTGTGTAAGTTAAAAGAAAATAAAACTTCAGATGAATTCTTACCAAATCCTGATATTGTAGTATCTACTGCTGAGATAAACTCATTAGATTTATCGATATTAAATCACTCAGCAATGAACGATACATTATATGAAAGTAAATATAATGAAGAAGGAACTGAGATTCCGTGTATGCCTCAACATAAAATACTGTTAAATACAAAGACAATACAAACACGTTCATATTCTCAAGGTGATATAAAATCTGAATGTAAGCAGTTATTGAAACCTAGGTCTAACTCTACAACAGAAACATTAAAAATTGATAAAATAAATATAAATGATTCAGATAGCAAGTCTTTTTCAGTATTTAATAAAGGCTTTATAGAGGATCAAAACAATGACACCTCCGTATTTTCTACTATATCAAACATTTCTAGCATTACAAGGAATTCTGGTTCCTTAACACATACTTCTGCCTCAATGCCTAATAATACTATGAATATGGCCTTTTTAAATAATTGTTCTTCATCAGTAGCTTACGATGAGAGGATAAATAATACGATAAGTACAGTATCTACAATATCATTACCTATTACACTAGCTCAAAAGTCAATCCAAACAACAGTTGATGTTAATAATAAGCTACCCGATGATAAATTGCTCGATATTGATATCTGTATACCTGAAATCACATATTCTAAATTATCTAATAATACCTGCTTGAATAGTTCTTCTGATTCTATATTTCTTGTAAGTAAATACAAATATAATTTATTAATTTGATTACTTTAAGATATTTTGTTTTCTTACGTATTAAATTGTTTAAATCTATTTTTTATAGAAACAAAATAATATCAATACATCAATAATTAATGAAGCTAAAGCTCTTGCAAGAACGTTTGAAGAATTTGCAGGAAAATCTTCAGGGTGTACGTATACTTTTTATTATTTGCTATCTTTCTATTGTATAAATTTCAATAATTTATTATTACTATCCAAATATATAATTTTATATATTTTTTTAACAGCAAATGTAAACGAACTGATTATGGATGATCCTATGTGGATTTCAGAATTGTTGCCAGCATATGAAGATGACGTTGTAGATAATTTAATTGAGGTACCAGTTTTAAATGCTACCAATAGGGAACAAGAAAATGGTGACATGTTATCTTGTAATAGTAATACAAATGATATAACAAAATCACAGAATAACGTTAAAAAAGAAATGGACATTGCTCCTTTGAATCAAATTACTGTTAATAAAACAGCTGCATCTACATTGTTAGTAGACCTCAAAAAAATAGTCAAAATAGAAAATAATTCCGAGGCTAACAGACTACTTGAAGATTTAGAACAAGTTTTAGGAATTCAGTCCAGTAACAAAATTGAATTATTTTCTACATGTATTCAAACAACAAATGATTCAAGAGCAATTCAAAATACAAAAGAAGAAAAACATGTTGATAAGAGTCACGTGGATGATTTAAAAAACTATGAAATAGAAGTTAAGAAGTCACATTATGATAATAAAATTAACGGATGTGAAGCATTCCATGACAATAATAAATCATTAATAAAAGAAAATGAAGTATCATCAATAAATCCACGAATAGAAATTTTTCCAAAGGAAGAAAGTTATATTGATATAGAAAAAAAAGAAATTAATGTTGATATTAATAATTTTACTCAGAAAAATATGACAATAAATAAAGAAGAAAATAATAGAACAGAGAGTAATGAAAAAGTTGCAGTAGAGTTGCTTATTAATTTAGGTAAAGTATTAAGTGGACAATCTAACGAATCTGCCACATTGAATTTGTTGAAGAATTTAGGAGAAGTATTAAATTTAGTCTCAAAAAATGATCAAGAAAAAAATAATGAACAAAGTAACGTGATTTCTAATAATACTGAAAAAATATCAATTAAAGATAAATCTGAAAATAAAGTAAAATCTTCAACACCATTAAAAGTAAAACAAAGACGAAGTTTCGACTTAATGTCAAAGGTAAGAATTGTAATACTTTATATTTATGTGAAAACACAAATTATTTCAATTTTAATATTTAATATTATAGGCAAAACCAACTTACCAGAAAGTATTAAGAAGAAGTACATGTACAAGTAGCACATCTCCTCCTAAAAAGCTGCAAAAGTCATTTGTATTTAAAGAAAATAACAAATCTCAATTAACTAAGGCCAGAAAGCGTTTTCCTAGTGATCCAGGTTCAATTAATTTAAACTCATCTAAAACAGAAATTGCTGCTAGCATAGGAGATCATCCAATTATTAGTAAATATTAGCATCTACTATTATTGAGTATTAATCCCATTGCATTATATTATATTAATGTTGTTCTTTAATATTAGAATGGCTCTTTTAAAGCAAGTCATACTTACATAAAATGCGATATCGCTACATCAAACTTTTTTATACATGTATATATAAAGTTTTATATAAAATTTGAAACTAAATATCTTTAATTTGTTTCTAGGTATAGATAAAGTTAATACAAATAAAAATAATTCGAAAGAAAAACCGTCCATCAAATTAGTTGTTAAAAATCAATTAAAACACAAATCAAAATCTGAAATTGTGAATAAAAAAGGTCCTATGAAAGCAATTATTCCAATTGGAAATATGCAAAGAAAAGGTATAGGTATAGAAGAAAATTAATGAACATATAAAACATATAAACAAATGAAGTTTCTGATTTGAATCTATGTACTAGGCACTACTACACCTCCGAAATCACCCAAGAATATACAACCTTGTATTAAAATATTCAGTAGCACACCGAATTCGATCGAAAGTAGTATTGAATTAAAAAAATCTCCTAAATTAAAACCAATGGCATCATCGACACCAGACTTTCCCAAATGTAAATCTACTGTACAAGTGCCAACGCTTCAACGTCGCGACAGGCTTAATGTTTCATGCGATATATCACCAATAAACGTACAAGAGGAAGTAACTACCGAGAAATGTAAAGTATATCTTAGTCCAAGGAGGTAAGAAAATATATAGTACATTTTTTTATTTATGAATAAAAACAAAATTATAGTAAATATAATTAAGTGCAATTTATTTTTTATATACACAGAGCAAATAAAAGTACATCGCCAAGAAAAAGGACGCCTAAAAGTAAAAAAAGAGAATCTAGTATTCCAAAATATTCCATGTCTCCTGGTGTTCATGTGAGAGCATCGTCACAGGATATCAATAAATCCCAAGAAATTTCAATGTCGTCACAAAATTTATCCAGAAAAGAAGAAATTTTTAAAAAATCACCCATGATTAGAAAAAAAATCGACAAATCAGAACGAAAAAGTCCTTTAACAGATAATAATATAAATATTGCAAAAGGAAAACCATTTAATTTAAATTCTAAGTTTAGAGGGAATAGTAATGAAAATATTGAAAGTGAAAAGGAAAATACATTTGTATAATATAAACAGTGAAAACAAATCATCGTATAAATAATTATAATAGTATTATACAGATTTTGTTGTCTTCAATTTTTAACCATAGACAAAGTAAAATTTTTGTATTCATTTTATAATAAAGATATTTAAAAAATAAAAAAAATCATCCGTTTACCATGCGCATTGGTAAGATAAACAATTGACAATATGCACACTTCGATATTTGATTTTGTAGATTATCAAAGTATAAAGTCTTATTACACAAACAATAGGTAACGTTAGAAGAATAGGTAAGTTATGAACAAATAACTACGTATTTATAAGATGAAAAAATAGAAATTGTTTATTTTGATAATAAAAGAGAAAATTTAGTAAAGTATTTAAGTTGAAATAGTATTTTGTTCGTAGTTGACCGTACCTCAAGTTAAGTGAAAGTTGAGGATAAGTAGGGGTAAAAAGAGCGAGGAGTGGGGAGGAGCTCGATCGGTCGACGAAGTAACGTCTTTCCCCTCCTGTGACTATCAGAAGCACGCTCCGCGTGTACCGTAGAGCGTCGAGCGCGGCTCCGCTCATCCATATTCGCGTCAAAGCCGCACCCGGCGTGGTGTGGTGCGGTGCGCTACGTTTGCTCGCATTAGGACAGTGCGGTACAATGTGTTGCGATGTGATACGATGCAGTAGAAGAGAGCGCACTTAAATCTTATTGAGATATTTTACTTCCTTAATCGGTAATACAATTATAAGCCCATTAATAACACGAGCGTAAGATTGTTAGCGCTAGACTGGCGCTAGATCGACGCTGGATCGGCGCGGTACCGAGAGAGTGTATCGAGCACATTGAAGTGTGTTGCGATTCGTACGCAGGAGTCGATCGGTCGATCTTTCTCGGGCGGTTCGTACGAGGCGCGAGAAGAAAAAGAGCGCGTCTCGCGTTTATGTCGTACTTCTTTCGTCATCGTCTCATCACCATCACCGTCACCGTCACCGTCACCGTCACCGTCACCGTCACCGTCACCGTCACAGTCACAGTCACCGTCAACGTACCGTCGTATTGTGTGCGGATAAACGCGCGCGCGCACACGTCTTCGCTTAGCTGCACCTTGCTTGCATGAGACAAAAAGAGGATCGACGACGCGTCGAATAGTAGCGATGAAAAGTACAAACGGAGTAAAGAAAGGAAGGAAAGAAAGGAAGAAAGGAGTAAAATTTGTGCGTATTGCAAGACAAGGAAGATTTGAGGTAATTTTAGTTTGTCACCGATCATACTACAGTAATAAGGAGCGCGCCACAGAGAAATTCCGGGTTACGCGCTCTTTATCGACGTTCTCCAGACTTTCGAGCACTAGCTCCTGATTTTAGAGTACCTAGCATATGCAAAAACGTGTATTGCTCGAGCACCGGCAATATTACGTATCGCGTGATACATAAAGATGCATACGCACCTACGTATATAATATGCATATATATGTATTTATATAGAGAGAAATATATGTGTATGTATATATATATATAAATATATATATTATATATTATATATATATATATATATATATATATATATATTTACTGTACGACATATTTGTCGTGCAGCACATGTATGCGCGCTCTTACACAGGAATATTCGAATACGTAAATGCACGTTTATGTAGATTTGTCGTAGAACCTGAACGCGCTGCGACGTTTGTAGGTGTGCGGCGCGCGCTCTGCTTGCGCGTCGTTTGCAATTACAGCCGTGGTCCGCTGGCATTCGTTCTTGCGACGCGCACGAGACAGGGTCTTTTCTCGTTCCCTCCTTCTTTCGTCCTTCTCTCATTTCTTCGTTTGTTCTTTCGTCTGCCCAATAGTTCAATTTCCCAGTTGTTCCAGAAACGTATTATCAGTTGCAAAATATATACAATTTGTCGGCAGTGTGAAAATAAAAGTCAAAAAGAGAAAAAAGAGAAAAGAGAGAGAGAGAGAGAGGCAGATAAAGTAGAAGAGAGGTACACGTAGAACGAGGCGCGATCGTGGCGCGCCGATGATACGAGACGGTGCGTGGACCGACGACGTGCGGACAGAAACGACCGCGCGCAACCGAGATTCTTTCTTTGCTCACGTCGCCCCCGGCGTAACTTACCGAGGACACTATATACATATGCGCGAGCATAAAACGCATGTAGTACTGCCGAAAGATCGAGTGGAAACACCGTCCCTTTAGCGAGAGCGCAACCCTCCTTCCTGAAACTTTTAACGCCGAGGAACGAAAGAAGAAAGAAAGAAAGAAAAAAAGAAAGAAAGAAAGAAAGAAAGAAAGAGAGAAAGAGAGAGAGAGAGAGAGAGAGAAAGAGAAAGAATAAAAGTAAATGGAAATACAAGAAGAAAATACAGAGAAAGCTGAGATAATAAGAAAATAAATAAAGGATAGTATTTGGCTCCTTTCGTCGTATCTTCTTTGGTAACGTGTAAGTTTGTTGTAATTAGGTTGCTACACATGTCGCGATAAGGAAGAAAAAGAAAAAGATTTCATTTCAAAGTGCCCTTCAACGAGCGATTCAACGTAATAACGAGCTAACTAACTTTCGTAGAGAATCATCGGCTATCGGTCGTATCCGTCTTTCTCCCTCCCCTTCGTACGGCGCGCGGCAGTAGTCTCCGGCTTGCGCGCGCGGGCTACAGGCGAAGGGCGCGAGCGGTGCTTGCGATTCGAAAACTCCTTCGAGGATTGACCATGCGTATGAGCAAACGACGAGCGATCGCTTACGAGATCCCGTAGGAGTAGGAGAAAGAGGAAGAGTAGGAGAAGGAGGAGAAGGAGAAGGAGGACGAAGAGGTACATGACAACGTCGGAAAGGGAGAAGGGGTAGAGAATCAGCACGAGTAGAACGACCAAGTGAGAAGAAGCAAAGTGCCGCTTCGCGCGTTCGAACATGTTAGCACTTGCTACGTTATTTAACTTTGTCGATCGTCATAATCGATATCATTTTTCGTTTAAATCAAATTCGAGATTTGAGAAATCGGTTATTCGAAATCTATACCTTGTTTTTACTTTTACCTTCGATTCTTAACGCACCGCAACACTCGTTCGGATTGTTCATCTGCGTTGGACTACTTTTCTCTTGTTTTCTCATTATTGCCGCATGTCCATTGTGCTATGTTGCGCGCGTCGAACTAACTTATTAGTAACTACTACGTGAGGTAGATCCCAAGTTCAAGAAGAGATATTGCTCACTCGCTGCGACATTTCTCAACGACCTTGTTTCTTGTACTTGATTCATGCGATTGTAAAGTGATATATATAACGAAGAAAATGGAAAAGACTTTGACTTTGTTACCCGAGCGAAGATGATCCGATGCAAGCGCGCGAATCCGCACGAGTGAAAGACAGTAAAAACGAAGATAGATAGAGAGAGAAAGCGATAGAGTGGGGAAAGGTCGAAGCGCGAATACGCGTGCGGCTGTACAAAAAACGCGCGTAGAGCTCTAAATCTAAAGATAATGTACGGAAACCTGAAAGGACTGAACAATTTTCCGTAACCTTTTGATATCGCATGGAACGATATCAAAAAATAACTTTTGAAGAAGTCTACGAAAAAGAGATGTGCACGTTGTTTCTACTTCAAAAAGATAAACGCATACAGTGAAGAGTAAGATAAAGTAAGTGAAGAAGGAAAAGTAAAATAGGGAAAGAAAGAAAGAGATAAAGAGAGGGACAAGGGTAGTAACAGCGTGACGGGGAAGGATGCAGCAATACCGGGTAGAAACGCAAATCCGTCATGAGGAGCAGATCCTGGAGGCGATAGATCAGCTGCGCCGACGTAAGGCGCGTCCCGATGCCGATCGTATTTGCAACTACTTGCTTCGAAAATTTTCGGTTGATGTGCGAGATACGATCGCCGATCTTCATCGCTTAATCGAAGCGGAGAAGGTTATACAAGTCGATTATAAAGGTAACACAAGTTATAGAAACGCATCTAAATGGTCCCGTTTACAACTTTACAAGAATCGACCGGAAGGCTTCGTAAAAGAAAAGTTAAATTCGGCAATGGTGGCTGGCGCGGTTGCCGAGCTCGTTGTTGAGGAACCAGATTACCTCGATCAAGGTGTGCCAGCCTGTAGATTAGTAGATCAATTGCTCGATGGTTTTTCGAATCCTACCTCTAGACGTATGACCGAGGATTTTCTCGGGAAAGAAGTTGCGAGCGGTAATTTAACACGTCTCTCTAACGGTAATTATTCGCTGGTGGCGACATCCGACATGACGACTGCAACCGAATCGACGCACCGCGAGACTTTTACCCTTGAAAATATCGAAAATGGTAATATCAGGCGTAAAGATTCACAAACAGTTTCTTCAACTACTAATGGCCCTTATGATTTCGATGAGTCTGAGAATTTGACTATCGCCGATTCAGCTTCAAATACACCAAGATCCTCGTGTCAAGCGAGTCCGAAACCAGAAGTGTCGAACAAGAAAGAAGAATGTTTTGATATTCTTCTTACTAAAAATCAAGAACGTATTGAAGATACATCTCTCGATGGCGATCGGACGAAGGAATCCGAGGATCCGTTAGCTAGTGTCGACGAGAGAAAGGATAACGTGAAGAGTACGGACAATCAGTGTCATAACCTCAAAAGATCTTCCAAATCGGAACGTAAGCAACGATTACTTGTCAGGACAGATGATCCTATGGACATAGAAATTAAATTTGAAGAGTTTCGCAAAGACAATAAGGAGGAATCTTCCGCTCAAAAAGATAAGAGGGAGGATAACGAACATTTTAGCGAAGATCGTGACGACGAAGAGGCTGGTAGAAGTTCTACGAATTGCTCTCCTACACCATCTAACATCAATGTGGGTGGTTTTCGTAGTGCTCGTAGGAAGGTTCGTTTCTGACGTTTCATTTTACGTGACTATACGAAATTGTTATTGACTTAACAATATTCTATCTTTTCTTTTTCTTCTTTGATTTCAACTCAAGACCATTTTCCAGAGAGCGAAAAAAGTATTTGATCCATCCGACAACAACCTTGTAAGACGGAAACGTGGTAGGCAAGCTACTACACAAAATAAGGTTGCTACGGTTCAAGAGCCTCCAGAAATTGTTAAACCGCCAATTAAAGATGGGCCTTGTAGACAGTGTAGCCTTTGCGCCAAAGAAAAGCAAGAAGCATTAGTTGCGTGCCGAGACTGTACAGTAAGAGGTAAGTTCCATGGATTTTTACTTTTCTCTACAGTCAATTTGAAATAATATTAATACTAATTAATGTCTTTATGTTTTAATTGTTTTAGCTCATCCAAGTTGCATTTATAGTCCAGAAGAAATAATTCACAAGGCTGGTAGTAATTGGCAATGTGAACGTTGTAAGACTTGTACCATTTGTTGTGAAACTTCGGATGCTGTAAGTTAAAATATTATTTTTGTAATAGTAGTCTAAAATCAATATCATGTATTAATTACTTTTTCTGTATTTATATAGGGACCACTAATCACATGTTATTCTTGTGACGAAGCATATCATCATTACTGCCATTCACCACGTGTTATAAATCCAAAATCAAATTTAAGATGGCAGTGTAACCATTGTGTTCAAAAACAACAGAAAACAAACAATAATCAGACTGTCAGCCTTATCATTGCACGACCTGATACTCCGTCAAGTGTGACTGTACTAGCACCACCTATTTTAAGCCCACAAGTTTCACCTGTTCGCCCATCTTCCGATCAAATGGAAGACGATGCTACTAAAGATGGCATCGATCCTAATATTCCTGATGCTTCGGATTGGACATCCGAACAAGTTTATCAATACTTTGCGAGACTATTTCCAAAAGAAGCAGAAGTATTTAGGCAACAAGTAAGTAATGCGAATATATTTCCCATACCTAGCATTAATTTTTATGTAATAATTCATAATTTTCATATATTTGTTATATGTATACAGGACATAGATGGTCATTCTCTTTTATTAATGAAGAGGTCAGATGTCTTAAAAGGACTTAACTTGCTGTTGGGTCCAGCATTGAAAATTTATAGACATGTTTTAAAACTTCAAGTTCGTCGAGACGATCCCAAACTTTATTGGTTGTAAGATTATTTTAATATTTTGAGAAAAATATATACATAGATAGTGGAAAATGTTAATGCTCACTATATATTGTACAGATCGATTTTCTTTATACATTCTTCGTATATAATTTTTCCAATTCTAGATATTTTTTCATATTATGCATATTGTGATATTCTGAATTAGGAAAGCGATAACGTCTGAAACATTTAAAGATATCTAATACAGATAATATTAATGTAAGTAGAACAGAGAAACAGTTGTCTTTTTTACATTGTAGTATATCTGTTTAAAAGATGTTTATTTTCAAGAATCGTATGTTATAAAACTTCTGTTATAAATATTATAGCAAAGGTTTTAAAGACTTTATTCTGTTTAAATAATATAGTGAGTCTGTATAGATAACCAATCTTATAAGTAAATTGTCATATAATAATATTGCATAGTTTTTATTTTTGTTACAGTACGTACAGTAAGATAATTAAGAATGATAAATATTTAGCATCTTTTCGATACTCTATTTAAGAAATATCGATATATCTTCCTGTATAATAAATGTTTTGATATTTACATTGCATATTTTGTTTTACTAATAAGATAAAACTTAATTTTTTCCTTTTCTTAGAAATTATTTTATAAAACTAGATTAGTTTTTCATTCTTTACGTTTATACACTACTAATCGTATGATGTAAAAATCTGTGAAAACCTTCTTTAGAGGCAGAAATTTGGTTTTTTAAATATAGACAAAAATTGCCTTGCTTTCGGTAATACCTTATTCTTGCATTTTAAAAGTAGTAATGATAATGCCAAAAAGAAAAGTAATAATTTTGTATAAAATATAATAAATATATTATGCCGTTTCACTAATTATTTAACATTATTATTCTTTATATATTGATAAAATATATATAATCTTATTTACTACTTTATTTTCATCGTAATTTTTCTCAGATTTACATCATATATAACACAGCATTTATATTAATTTATTTTAATTATTTTAATTAAGTTCTATTAATAATTGCTGTGTTAAGATATATATAAAATAACTTTTGTATTTATCAGCATGTGATACCATGTAATAGGGTAAATTTTACAAGATTAAAAAGATATATTATGTTAACCATTAATTTTTCCTAAATACTTTATTTAAAAACACATAAATCTCATGTCACAAAAATGTTTAAAGTCAACAGCTAATATCAACAAATTATCCATCTAGGACGACAATAATATCTCAAAAATGATAAATCTAGATTATTTCTATAAATGCATCCATAGATACAATTACTTATTTCTTATTACTATAGTGATAAAAAATAAAGGAATAGTTCGGTTCTATAAAATCTGTGATTTATGGAAAATTGTTATATTGATTATTATAGAGTTGTTTGCCTTATAAATTATATTAAAAATAATATTATATGTGCCTAAAATGGCTTTTGATATTGATGTAAAAAAGTTGTACAGTCTTTAAACCAGTCTATCACGTGCATACATTAACCATCTTCACTATTTTGATTGAATGTAAAAAGCATCAGTATCACATTGCATAATAATTCTTTCAAGAAAACAAAAATATTACGATAAACATTATAACTACTTATGTAAAAGAAAATTTATGACATATGAAATACTTCAAATATATATACTGTTCTATATTATTGCACTCAATTAATACTTTCTTGGAATAATCAATTTTAAATTGATTATTTATTAAAGTTGAAAGCATGAAACATTAATGACTTAAATTGTTGTTTATTTTTACATATATATATTATATCAAAACTTGTATTTAATTTATGAATTTTTCAATAGCATCTTATGAGAAGCAAACATTTCAACAGTGCCAGAAAATGTAAAGGGCAACTGTAATGTAAATATATTATTTTATATATATTCAAACTTTAGTGAATATATTTAATTTTTTTTAATAATTAATTAATTATATTTAATAATCTCCAAAATGACTTAATATTCCAATAACAAGGTACTTAAACTTTTAAGTTAACATTTAATTCATTGTTAACATCCAATTCATTATTAATATCAGTATACTTAGGAGGAGGCTTTTTATGCAATGGTTCTTCATCTGGTATATACAATGTGATTTTACCTGATGCTTTGGATTTATCAACAAAAAATTCTTTTATATTATCATGTGTTCTTTCTGAAGACACACTATATAAATACATACATACTGCAAGTAATGCTACTGCAGCTGCTGTAGCAGAAGCAAAACGTGCTGAAGGCATACCAGCATGTCTTGATGCACACTGAAACCAATCGGATCCGGGTATCCATGATGAAGTTGGTTCAGATTCTCCTGAATAATCTGATGGGGTCTCATAGTCCATGGTCTACATTTTTATAGCATTTAGTTTACTTATTAAAAAGCATCTTATTTCAAAGAAAATTATTTGCTTATAACAAATTAATATACTTTTTTATGATATAAAAAACATCTTTGATAGTTAGTATTAATTAATAACGCAAATTCAAAGTATTGTAATAAAAATATAAGACTTACTCCAGCATCCATTGGAACAGTTTTAATATAAGTCTGAGGTAATTTAAACCCATTGGAATCCCACCACCTTGGAAGAAGCTCTTTTCGAATACCAGGGTCTGTTAGAATATCATTTTCTGGTATATCAGGATACATTAGTAAAGTGTTAGAATCTACATATTCCTCTACATAGATAGCAATAGAAAAGAGTGATAATAAGTCGGAGACACGTTGTTTGGCCATAAAGTCACAACCAGTGCTGCAAGCATAGCGATCTTGTGGTTCTGCATACGCTTCTGTGCATGCTATTAAAAGAAAGTTTAGTTACTTTTTTTATATAACTAAAACAAAATGATAAAAGCAAGCATTGTTTCCTACATTATTTAAGCCTAATATTTAATTCAAAATATCAAAATTTAAGAGCTATAAGAATATTTCTAAACAGTATCGCCATGCATATTCTGTTAGCTGTAGTATTGTTCTTAACGCTCTAAATTTAAAGCAATCTTTTTTTTGTGTGTAATATTATTGTTAAAATTAAAATAGAGTTAAATTTACAAGCTTCACAGGCATCCCTAGTGCCATTTAAACCATTGGGTTCCAGTCCATAATTCAAGTCCACTAAATTAAAAAATCTACAACCTCGTTGACAACAAGACTTAATGTACTTGCTCTGAAAAGAAGAATGAAAGTAATAATATCCATATATAATACAAAAATAGACTTTTTATAAGTTATGCTATAGAAGTAAATTCATGATTCTTAAAATCAATACAATATTCATACGTTTGTGAAAGAAAGTGGTGTTTTCTCACATAAAGTTATACAAGGATCTTCGCGATTTAAAAAATTATAACATATGTCACAATATACAATATTTATCAGAAATAACACTAGTAGGATAGCACTTTCTTTATACTTTTTCATTTCAATTCGATGTGTATTAATAATCTGTTTTTAGGAATCAAATTTTCTTATTACGGAGGTCAAACTCATATAGAAAATCACACTGCAAATCAAAAAGTTATACCCCTTGCTGTCGATAGGTGCGCTAATATCGTAACCAACCACGTTCTTTCAAAAAAATAAACTATATATAATATAATAACTATTTGTTATTATATATATAAAATTTTCACGATTTTAATTATATTGTAAAATTAAATATTCTTAAAATAGACATAATCATATTAATCGAAATACTAAGTATGAAATTGGTTTGTAAATAGGTATTTTACTGTAGAATTGCAATATAAATTCCTATGATTTAAGCTTAAATGACTTATAAAAATAAGTCTTAAGATATACATTTATGGACTTTTACTGATATTATAAATATAAATACTTATAATACCAAATAATATATATTCAATATTTATCTATTAGATATTTATGAATTATAATTCGCATTTCAAATGATTAATAACATATATCGTTGATATTGCATGTTTAAAAGAGGTTCTTTCATAGAATTAATATATATTTTGATTTACATATTATTCATTTTATAGTATTATTGTTATAACAATACTTTTAGTTATAGGTATATATAAAATTTATATTACGATAAAACCATAGTAAAGTTTATATTTTGCGAATTACAATATAACTGTAACATCTCATTTGAATAACGTATTATCCGCCATTGGATTCGTTCATAACGTCGGCATTCTTGAACGTCTAGTCTATTGGTACGAAATAGGTTCTCATCAGTCTCCATTTTTGTAAAAAAGAAAAATTACTAAGCATATATTAGTATTTAAATACAAAAGAGATTGTTTATTTGTTGACTTTACAATTAATTGAAGATCGAAAGGATGTTTGGACCAGGGGCTGCTCCAATTGTAGTATTAAGTAAGTTGAAAATCATGAACATGATTAGCATTTGTTTGCTATATTAAAACGAAAATTCTAATTAACGCAATGTCGTGTGCTTTGATAATTGCAGGCCAGAATACAAAACGAGAGACAGGAAGAAAAGTACAGAAAGAAAATATTCAAGCTGGAAAAGTAAGTAATTTAATGTCAAATGATCATGAAACTCCTTTTATGGACTTTCACGATCTTGGCACACCCACGTGCATTTATGTTGTGAATAATCTATGAATTCTTTTAAAATTGTCAAAAGCTATTAATTGAATGTATTGAAATTTTGATTTTTGCCTTATGTGTATTTAATTACGCTACAAATACATATGTATATATATATGTATAAATTATTGCGGTATTAATTGCATGTAGTGTGTGTGTATTATATATATACAGTGTGTCAAAAAACGTCCATATCAAGTATTTATACAGAGACATATATATATTTATTAAATATAAACTTTTAGTTTGTTACTATATTATTAAAGCTATAGAGATTGATTTCTTTTTGTAAAGGCAATCGCAGATGTCATTAGAACATGTCTGGGTCCGCAAGCAATGTTAAAAATGCTAATGGATCCTATGGGTGGTATTGTCATGACAAACGATGGGAATGCTATTCTTCGTGAAATAACAGTACAACATCCAGCTGGAAAATCAATGATTGAAATAGCAAGAACTCAAGACGAAGAAGTTGGAGATGGTACAACTTCGGTAATTGTATTAGCAGGAGAAATTTTGGCTACCGCAGAGCCATTTTTAGAACAAAGTATGCACCCAACTGTTATTATACGAGCATATCGACAAGCTTTGGAAGATATGGTGACGATTTTAAATGAACAAGTCAGTATAGATCTGGATTGTAATGATCGTGATAAATTGATCCAAGTGATAAATTCATGCGTTAGCACGAAGTTTATAGGACGTTGGAGTAAATTAGCTTGTCAGATTGCATTGGATGCAGTTAGTACTGTAATGTTGGAAGAAAATGGCCGTAAAGAGATAGATATCAAACATTATGCTAAAGTTGAAAAAATTCCTGGTGGATCTATTGAAGATAGCACTGTTCTTAAAGGCGTCATGTTTAATAAGGATGTAACTCATCCAAAAATGAGACGTTCTATAAAAAATCCTAGGATTGTTCTATTAGACTGTCCTTTGGAATATAAGAAAGGAGAATCCCAAACTAATATTGAGATATTAAAAGATACTGATTTTACACGAATTTTGGAATTGGAGGAAGAACATGTGAAAAAACTTTGTGAAGATATCATTTTAGTTAAACCAGATTTAGTAATCACTGAAAAAGGTATTTCAGATCTAGCTCAACACTATCTTGTAAAAGCTGGAATTTCTGCTATTCGTCGTTTGAGAAAAAGTGATATCAATAGAGTAGCAAGGGCTTGTGGTGCAACAGTAGTAAATCGTACTGAAGAGCTTAGAGAGGAAGATGTTGGAACAAGAGCTGGACTTATGGAAATCAAAAAAGTAGGGGATGAATACTTCTGCTTTATTACAGATTGTGAAGATCCTAAGGCTTGTACGATTATTTTGCGAGGTGCTAGTAAAGATGTACTAAATGAAACTGAAAGAAACTTGCAAGATGCTTTACATGTTGCACGGAACCTTCTTTTAGACCCTAAACTAGTACCAGGTATGTAAAATCTAGTAAATTTAACATAAGAATAAAATATAATAATATCACACAGTAGTATTATGATCTTATAATTATATTTATTCAGGTGGTGGTGCGGTTGAAATGGCTGTTTCTCGACTTTTGTCTGAGAAAGCAGCAGGTCTTGCTGGTGTTGAACAATGGCCATACAAAGCAATTGCACGTGCTTTGGAAATAATACCTAGAACATTGGCTCAGAATTGCGGAGCTAATACTATTAGAACATTGACGGCACTTCGTGCGAAACATACTACAGAAGGAACAACTTGGGGTATTGATGGAGAGACAGGACAATTGGTTGATATGAAGGAACGTGGAATTTGGGAACCACTTTCAGTTAAATTACAAGTATATAAAACTGCTATAGAAACAGCTATTTTGCTCCTAAGAATTGACGATATTGTCTCAGGAAGTAAAAAGAAGAAATCTGATAATGAACCATCACCCCCAAGTCAAGTGACCGAAGAATCCATGAAAGATTAAATTATATAGCTTTTTTTTAAATTTTAATTGCTTACATCTACGTTTAAGAAATAATTATTTTAAGTAGTAATTGTGTCATTGCAATTTCATTTGCAAATTTGCACAAGAGCTGCTTCACCTTTATGTATACATTTTCGTACAATAAAAATAAATCTTAATAAATTATACATATATAATACTTTTATATATTCCGTAAGTATAAATGACATCAGTGTCAACATTAAAAAGAAATTAAATCTAATAATGTAATTTTTGTATGACGCAGCTATCCGCCTATGAAGTTTTATGCATGTACTTAATTTCTGCAAATATAGTTTGTTAATATTTGATATATATGATTTCATATCGTAATTCTTATCAAAAATGTGTTCTAAAGTGTATACAAACATCGAGCGTGTCTTTATATGTCTTATATAAAGAATAAATTGCCATAGTTTAGATGAGTTTTATTTTACGATCATAACATTTTTTCAGGACATCTTTATGCAGATATTTAATGATTTAATTTGATATAATATTGGCCTGAATCAGTGAAATAAAAAGCATCCTTTACAATTTTTTAACAGGATCCTGTTCCCCAATATCTGAAACTACATGCTGCGCCATTAAGGATATTTGAATTTTCTATAAATTATATATTATATATTCTGTTTGTATATATTTACATTGAAAAAATATAAACAACACTAATCGCATTTAAAACATTTAACAATAATTTTAAACATATTACCATCAACGCCGCTCTGGTAGGATAGTATAGTTATTGCTTATACGTTTGTGCATATTTGTGTGCAAATTCCACTCTTCATATAGAATTTTTATTGTAATATATATATATATGTATATATATACACTTTTCGATACATTTTTGCATTCTGTGATATCATCAAGTTGTAATAAGTTGTGAAGAGTTTTTTTTTAATGTATTTGTTCTAAAGTAAGTATTTATTAAATATTTCAATTGACGTTCTAATATGTTAAGAGAATTTAATACATATTTGATACACCTATGGGAATTCAAGAAAAACAAGGTGGCGTTTCGTACGATACAGGTATATCGATTGTGTGTGTAGGGTGGCCGGCATGGATGAAGGCCAGCGAAGGCCGTAGAATGCCATACGATTTTCGTAACGGATATTCGGAAAACTCGTTGTTGTTCAAATACATCGAACAATGATCACAGACGTGAGATGATGCCTGGGATGCCGAATAATTCTCGTCAACTGGTTACTTCTAACGGTGGTAAATTATTAATTGGAAACAATTGTTTGTAGCATTTTTACATTTCCGTTTTTATTAAAGCTTGACAGATGTTTAACGTATTATCATTAATTTTTAACTTAAGATTCACGTTACATTATCATTTCTATATACCTGTTTATACGTTAACATGAAAAAAAAAGATTAATTGACATGTTATTGATATTTATGTATATGTTTCTTAATATATTTTTGTTTATTTTTTACAAAAGGTTAATCATTTATTTATGTAATATTATTAGATTTTTTCAAATATTTTAATTAATATTGAATACGATTGTGTTATGTAACTATTTCACTAAGAAGTTTACTAACTTTTTTTATAATTTGATCACTTTTCAATTTTCATTATACTGCCATACTTTAATGATAGTTTAAAACATAAATCTTTTTTAGTTACTGATATTTGTGTGTGCATATGCGTGTATACGTGTGTGTGAGAGGATTTAAAATTAAATATAAATGTTAATAATTTAAATTTATTGCGAATAGATAGTTGTGATATTACAGAAAAATGTGTTCCTTAGACTCTGAGTGGGATTCCTTGATGGAAGTTCATCATGAACCAATAGAAAAAAATTATGAGTTATTAGAAGAAATTGGAAAGTGAGTATTTAATTATTTAATTTGTTATTTTTCAAATATTGATATCTGCTTGTTTATTAAAGGGGTCAATTTGCCATAGTACGAAAATGTGTAGAGATAAAAACTGGAGCATTATATGCAGCCAAAATTATGAGAAAAAGGAG